CTCGCTCGTGCACCTGAGCTGCCCGGGGCGGCTGCAGCAGGTTGGCCGTTGTGGAGGAAGTTACACTTGTCTCCACGATTGCAAACTCCTTGCTTAAAGAACTTGCATTCCTGCTTTTTGCCTTTACCTTTCCCTCCCGGGCTAGGGGTTCTAGTAGGCGTACGACCTCCGGCAGGAGTGTGAGAACGCCCCCTAGGTTGTTGGTGCTTGTACGGGCAATTGTCTCTCTTGCAACTTCCGGTCTTGACCCAATCAACGCAATACCCCTTGGGAATACGCTTAGGGGCCGGTGCGGCAGCAGGCGCAGTAGGTACACCTGTTTGCCGAGCAATGCGCTCGCGGTTCTTCTGCAATCGCTTGCGTTTCAAATGATTAGCAACCGCGTTATACAGGAACTGATAGGACCTTTGCTCGCTACCTTCCAGTGCGCGTTCATAGACCTGGATGTCGTGATCGATTTCCTTGCACTTCTTCACCTGTCTATGGAACAGGGGTTCAAGCACGCTGTTGTCCGGAGGATTGGGAATCCCTGATAGCACCGTATCCCAATTTCTAATGAAGGTGGTGAGGTTTTCGTTGACCATGATGCAATTCATCAGGTCCTCCATGTCATACACAGAGCCATGGAGTGCATTGGTAGCAAAGTGGTTGTGAAGACGACACAGCAACTGTCTTCCTCTCACCAGCCTTCCGGCGTGAGCTTCGGTCTCCTTGAAGGTATCAGTCTGCCTAGCGAAATCACCCTCAAGGATGTTGGTGAGCCCAGAAAGGATCTTGGCATCCAAGGTGCTAAACCCCTCCGGGTCGCGAAGCTCTTTCTCGTCGGCGTCCTTCTCCCAGACCTTACTGAGCCAGGCATGCGCCTTGTCAGGCGAATCCGATGCAGCGACAATGGCTTCACGGACCCTTATGCGCCAGTTTCTATACTGCTCAGGCTGGGGAAACTTGGGAAACACGACTTTCTCAGCCTCTTTAACCTTGGGTTTGGTACTCGAGGAACCCTTTTCTTCATCATCATCCTCTTTATCAGACTTCTTAGATTTCACCATCTTCTTGAGCATCTTCAGAAGAATCTTGTTGTCGATGGAAGAAGACGATGAATCCGACGACTCATCTTTCTTGTGCTTTTTGGATTTCTTGCTCTTTTTCTCCTTCTTACCGCTCTTTTCAGGCGCTTCAAGTGGTTCGCCAGGAGGAGTATTGATCGGAATGGGTCCTAGACCAGGAGGCCCGGCCTGTTCCGGTTCATTGCCCAATGGGTCAGCTTTGGCTTCCGCCAAGCGTGTTCTTAGCTCGGCATTGTCCTTTTGCAGCATCTCCATGTTGAGGGCTTGAATCCTCATCATCTCTTGCATCTCACCTTTGAGGCGAGAGAGCTCGTTGTCACGAGCTGACACGTCGGCTTGATTAGCCTGCAACCTTCGATTAGCCTCGGTTTCCACCTGGGCGACAACATTTGCAGCTGTCTGTTCAGCGGATAGGAGGCGCTGCCTTAGCTGCTCAGCTTCAGCAGCGGCTGCTTCAGCCTCAATTTGGTACTGGGCTACGGCCTGCCGACCAGCATGGATGTTTTGATTAGCCTGTTCTTCAAAGGCTCTGGCTTTTGACTGCAACTGTGCATGCTCAAGCCTCAGCTGAGCGACTTGACTCATGGCACCTGTTTCCAAAGCGAGAATTTGCTCCCTGTTTTCACTTTGGATATTGCGAACGGCTTCAGCGTGTCTTGCATTTGCTGTGTCCATAATCAATGCAGGATCCGCACTGATCAGAACGTTTTGCTGATGCTGATACAACTGATTCACGACAGTTGGAACGGAGGTGTGCGATGGAGGCACCGGAGAATAGCCTACGACTGTGGGTGAGGGCTGATGTGTCAGCGACGCTCGTGATGGCACGCATGCTGGTTGAGGTCCAAGAGACCCAACATGCGAACGTAGCGTCTGCTCAGTGAGAGCTACCCGACCCTCCCGGGCGGTGACAATCGGAAGCTCTGCGCCCAGATTCGATCTCGAGCGGGCGGACTCCGTATCGTCATCACCTAGTTCGGAGATAGGCACACCTGCAGGATTTGTGGGAGCTGTGGTGTCCATTGCACTACGAAGAGCTATACAAGCTACGGCTGATAACCTATTGTTAACAGCGGAAAGCACGGACTGTTTTCACACTTGAGCCATACGGTAGCGTAGGTAAGACAGTAAGACAAACGTATGAACAGGATAAAAACAAGAGGGGCCTTCGGGGCTCCTCTAAGGGATCTATAGGGGCCTTCGGGGCTCCTTTAAGGGATCTATAGGGGCCTTGGGGGCTCCTTTAAGGGATCTATAGGGGCCTTCGGGGCTCCTTTAAGGGATCTAGAGGGGTCTTCGGGGCTCCTTAAAGGGATCTATAGGGGCCTTCGGGGCTCCTTTAAGGGATCTATAGGGGCCTTGGGGGCTCCTTTAAGGGATCTATGAGGGCCTTCGGGGCTCCTTTAAGGGATCTAGAGGGGCCTTCGGGGCTCCTTTAAGGGATCTATAGGGGCCTTCGGGGCTCCTTTTAAGGGATCTATAGGGGCCTTGGGGGCTCCTTTAAGGGATCTATGGGGGCCTTCGGGGCTCCTTTAAGGGATCTGTAGGGGCCTTCGGGGCTCCTTTAAGGGATCTATAGGGGCCTTCGGGGCTCCTTTAAGGGATCTATAGGGTTTAGGGTTGAGGGTTTGGGGTTTGGGTCGTAGTGGGACTTGAGATCCTGATGTAGGGGCCTTAATAATGAGATTAGGGCCAATGATTAGGGTTCCTTTAAAGGGTTCCTTTGAGGGATACTGTAAGGGTACTATAAGGGATTCAAGGATATAGCGGAAAATGCCACTACAGGACCCTCACGTTAATAATTACCTGTAGGGTTCCTAGGGTTCCTTTAAAGGGGTCTATAAGCTGTTATAGGGGTTTAGTATAGGGGCCTTAATGATTAGAATCCGGTTATGGGGCCCGTTATACTATACTTATAGTAAGGAATCCCCAAAATAGTATTGGTAACCATTTAGACCCCTATATTAGTAAGGTTATGAGTACATTTGTTGGGGCTATACGTAATTAAACGTATAGTTACCTTGTTGAGAACCGTAGTTACTAGGCCCCCATAGCACCAGTACGGGACCCTCACATGGACCCTACACTGTCGGATTCCCGTCCTTCTTGTTCTTCGAGCTTATAAGGGAGTTCCGGAAAATAGGGGACCCAAATATAGTACCCTAAATAATAGGATCTCTATTATAAGGACCCAAAAATCAGAGACCCCTAATTTTCGGAAACTCCCCTAACGACGTTGCGGTCGTCTGTTCACGTGCGTGAAACTTGACGCGCGCAACGACTATCACGGCTCTGCCAGCACATTCGACACTTAGTTCGGCTGAAAACACGCAACACATTTTTCGAGTTTGCTGGCACTGTCACGATTTGCACTGTCAGCCGAACGGCCATCCTGGTCTTTGGCATACTCTTGCATGATGGATGGCACCCCATCGTGCCGGCTCTATCGGAACGATAAGACCTTAAAGCTTCAAGCACCGTTCTCAAACCGGGAGAGTGCGGTACCTTCCTCGCAGAAAGCATAGTTGGGATGGGGTCGAAGTGGACGCTATTCTGGTTGGAGCATGGATGCTCTGGTAATGGGATGGGGTCGGAGTGGACGTTACTATGCTTCGGGAATGGATGCTCTGTTCGTGAGATGGGCGGGCAAAAATGCCTGTGGCCACGATCCTAACCCCTCTTAAACCCTCAAGCCCGTAAACCCTAACCCCTCTTAAACCCTCAAGCCCTTAAAGCCTATGGTTTTTCCCAGTACGATGGGCACTTGCGACAGCGTCAAAGTGCAAACCACTGCGCCCGTCGACAAAACTCGCAAACCTCCGAAGCCAGAATCTCCTCCCCAGAGAGCCCAATACCTTAGAAGGGGCCCGCACCCTGTAGTGACCATAAGGATTATATAGGATTATATTAGGGCCCTATTAGATTCCTATTATACCACTATTACAGGGTGGGGGCAGCTTCTAACCAATACCCTCTAATTAAGGAATATAGCTTAAATCATAATATGAATCCCCTTATGATTTAAGGTATATTCCTGAATTAAGGGGTATTGGGCTCTCTGGGTCTTGAAGAGCCGACTGGAGTGTACATCGGGGGCGATCATGACCATTGTCGCTGAGAGTACGGAGAGTATGATTCTTATAGCATGCTTACTGTTCTTGCTGTGACTGTCATGACTGCTGCTATGGTCATTGTCTCCAAAAACCTTATGGATCCCTTAAAGGAACTCTTAAAGGAGCCCCCTAAACCCTACTCCCTATATATAACGGGGAACCCTGAACATTCCCTTGGCCGATTTCTGCACCCCTGCAAAAAGTTATAAACTTTTTGTCTCCTTATTATGGCTCATACTGTTGATGATATAAACCCTAGGGTTCCTTTAAAGGGATCTATAAGGGGTACCTGTAAGGGGCTCCTGTAAGGGATCTTTAGGGTTTAGGGTTTAGGGTTGATGATATAAATCCTGCATGACCTCAAGGACCCTAAACTATGGGAATTATGGTATACGGTATATTCCTTATATTGGGTCATGCAGGATATTGTCCATCAACCGTATGGAAACCTATAAAGTTAAAGTCCTAAGAGTCAACCAGAAGAACCCAGAGAGCCCAATACCCCTTAATTAAGGGTTGTAATTACCTTAAATTATAAGGGGATTCATGTTATGGTTTAAGCTATATTCCTTAATTAAAGGGTATTGGGCTCTCTGGGAATGCCAAGTTCCTGAAGCCCTAATATAGTACCGCACCTAATATTTGGGGTTCCCAAAAAAGGGACCATAATTTTGACAACCACCCTAAACCCCGAAAACCTACTATAGACCCCTCTAAGGAACCCCTTATAGATCCCTTTAAAGGAACCCTCATAGATCCCCTACCCAATTCTGAAGCATGGGGGGCCCTGAACATTCCTTAAGTAAGATGGGGCGCGAGCCTTGGAGACCATCTCATTGGCCCAAAGGGTCTCTGTCTTCTCAGTCTCCTAAGCTGGGTTTAGGGCTTTAGGGCTCTACAGCTTCAGGGTTTTAGGGTTTAGTGTTTAGGCTTTAGGGCGTTAGGGCTTTAGGGCTTTAGGGCTTTTAGGGTTTGGGGTTCAGGATTTGGACTTTGGAGCTTGGGATTTAGGGTTGAGGGTCTAGTTTTTTGGGGTCTAGGTTCAGGGTTGAGGGTTGTTCCCCTCAGGGCTCCTTTAAGGGAAGTGTAAGGATACTACAGTGGTTTGGGGTTTGGGCTGTAGGGTTGCAGGGCTTTCTAAGGAAGAGTCCTCAGTCCTTCATGGTAGCTGACTTACATTACGTCATAATATGAGCCTTGCAGGCATACCCCTTAATTAAGGGTGCCAAGTAGCCCCTCTGGGTTAGCGAGATGTCAGAAACCCTAAACCCCCGAACCGTAAACCCCTACAGTAGACCCTAAACCCTAAACCCTAGACCCCTTAAGCCCAATACCCTAAACCCCTACGGTAAACCTAAACCCCAAAACCCTAAACCCTAAACCCCAAAACCCAAAAGAAGCCACAGACGAGGACCAGGCCGGGATGGTCGCCTCGTCGGCAGGTGTCTCGCCTGCCCCTGCGGTCGGTGGAGTTGGGAATAGACCTTACCTGGGTTGTAGTTTAGGGGCCCTTAGAAGTATTTATGAATAGGCACCGCTATAGGAACCATAAGGGAATTTTAAAGTTTCCCAAAGTGCCACCTAACTACATTACAGGGACAAGGGACTCCACCTAAGGCTTTGAGGCATTTACCCCATTGTAGGGTTGCACGGCACCCTACCAGTTGGATCCGAAAACGGACCCTCATGTAGAGAACTACCCATATTATGAACGACAACATACCCTATGTTATAAGAATTTTCAGGGGGTTCATATGATGGTTCAGGCATGGACCTTAAATAGCGGGTGCCATGTGTTATGATTGAAGGTACACCGAGGATCAGTGGACTAAGCGAGGTTATAAGCACCCTTATTTGGGGTTATAAGTAATTATAAGTATAGTTACCAGATATATAAGCCTAAATACTAACTCCCATGGTCGATGAAGTACCCTTAAACCCCCCTTATAGAGCCCTTATAGGTCCCCTTATAGGTCCCTCCAAAGAACCCGTAGCTACTAAGTCCCATGATCCTTTATGTACCCTAAACCCCTATAGATATCTTATAGGAACCCTTTAAGGAGCCCTTTAGTTACCATAATTGTAAGCCTAGTTACTAAGTCCCATGATCCTTTAAGTAGACCCTTAACCCTATAGATCCCTTTAAGGAACCCCTGTAGATCCTTTTAAGGACCCCTTCAAGGAACCCTGGCTACTAAGACCCATGATCTTTTAAGTATGGTATCTTCCCGGCCTGGACTGCCGGGTGCAAAGGCGGCAAGTTCCACCTCGCTCACCTTGGAGACCTTCACCTGGAAATTCCAGGGATTAGGGTTTAGGGTTCAGAGTGTAGGGCTAGGGTTTAATTAGGGTTTAGGAGACATTGCTTTAGGGTCTTAGGGCTTCAGGGTTCAGGGGTTTAGGGCTTTAGCGCTTTGGGTTTAGGGGTTTAGTGTCTTTGCGTTTGGGGTTTAGCCCTAAACCGCCCGACCCCCTACTACTAGTGCTGTTGCTATTGTCACTATTCTTCTTCTCATTATAGTACTTCGCTACTAACTATTACTAAACCCTAAAACCCCCCAAACACTAGGGCTGAGGGTTTAGGGCTTAGGACTATTCTTCTTTTCATTTTCTTGCGACTGCTACTAATACTAACTATTACTAAGTACCCTAAAAATCCCCAAACACTGGGGTTGAGGGTTTCAGGGCTTAGTAAACCTTTAACCCTACCTGTAGCCGAAAAGACCTACCTTTTTCAGGAGCTATATATAGAAGCCATAATGAGGAACCCTAAAAAGGTAGGTCTTTCCGGCTACAGGTAAACCCTAGGGGTGTGCAGCTCTGGTCGAGGGCTCAGGCCCCTACAGGGCAAGGCAAGAAGCGAACCGGCATGTCCTCGGCGGATTCTGGTTTGGGTGGCTTAGGAGCGGGGCTTTAGGGTTTACTTGGAGGGGCAGGGGACTTAGTAAGTAGGTTTTAAGTAGAGTTATACGCACCCTAAATGGAGCTACCCCGATGATAACCCTACTTATGACCTACTTACTAAGTCCCCTGGCCCTCCAAGTAGCGTCTAGGGTTGGGGTGTGACACGGCTTTTCTCGGCATCTTTGTGTCATCTAGAAGAGCGTTATACACAGTTTCATACTGGCTCTTGGAAGAAGTGGGCGAGCCAAGCGTCATTCGCCACCTCCAGCACGCCATTCACCCGGAAGACGACCAGCAGGGTCTTGCAACAAGCCATATAGGTGAATAGGCACAGACTATATAGAGATACATAGATATCTACAAAAGAAATGATCAACTGGCAGCCTGTGGACTGCCGCACAAAAAGCAAGACTGCGTAACGGTTTGATCGTTCGAGCGAGGGCGCTCTCGCTGCCTGGCCTCCTTCACCTTGGGCACCATACGGTAGGCCAAGAAGCGAAGTGATGCCTGGAGCAACAACGGGTTTTAGAGTCTACTTAAAGCATCAGGGGACTTAGTAAGTAAGGTTATAAGTACCCCAATTGGGGTTCTAAGTATAGATACGTTATTTATAACCCTAGTTACTAAGTCCCATGATCCTTTAAGTAGGGTGAGCCTGGAGCCTGACTGGCTTTTGTCGGTCCCGCCTGCTCGGAACCTACCCTGCGTAAGACGGTGGGGCGCAGGAAATCATCCGTACCTTCAGCAGGAAAGTGGCAAGCATCGATGCTGCGAGAAGCAGGAGATGTGCTCAGGCTGTGGCTGACATAGGCGTGCACCGAGTGAACCTGCTGGGTTCAAAGAGAGCCCTCGGCATGAGGGACGGAGTGCATATCGTAAGGATACTAAACCTAATGCTGATTGACGCAATCCTGCATCACCCACAAGAAGGAATATACCCAAGATCTATAACGTAATGCGGGATTTTGTCCAGAGGAATGTGCCCCGAATTTGTCCGATGGCCTCGTCCTCTTCGAGCCTGCCGGAGACTGCCGGAGTCCAGGTGAGCCTGATGGGCTGGAACCTGCAGGAAAAGCTTCTTCAGACAAATGTGCGTGGGATTGAAGACGAGCGAGCGAAAGAGAAAGAGAGAGAAGGAGAGAGAAAGAGAGAGAGAGAGAAGAACAAAAAGGGAGAGAGAGAGAGAGAGAGAGAAAGAGAGAGAAAGAGAGAGAAAGAGAGAGAAAGAGAGAGAAAGAGAAAGAAAGAGAAAGAGAAACAGAGAGAAAGAGAGAAAGAGAGAAAGAGAGATCGAGAGATAGAGATATAGAGAGATAGAGAGATAGAGAGATAGAGAGATAGAGAGATAGAGAGATAGAGAGATAGAGAGATAGAGAGATAGAGAGATAGAGAGATAGAGAGATGGAGAGATAGAGAGATAGAGAGATAGCGAGATGGAGAGATGGAGAGATAGAGAGATAGAGAGATAGAGAGATAGAGAGATAGAGAGATAGAGAGATAGAGAGATAGAGAGATAGAGAGATAGAGAGATAGAGAGATAGAGAGATAGTGAGATAGAGAGATAGAGAGAGAAAGAGAGAGAGAAAGAAGCACAAAAAAGGATCTACAGACAGGAAGTAGGAGGAGCCCGGCCTGTCACAGATCCAGCATCTTTCCGCACGGAAGGAAATGGTTTCGAGGTTGCTCCTGGTTCTGAGCTCTTTGCCCTCTGCACTTTCGCTCTCGACGATTTCTGCAGACAGGCCACGCTTCGAAGGACTTTGCCAGTGGCATGCTGAAGTGGTTGTCCTGCAACGGACGGTTAGAACAGCCGGGAAGCAAGCTTCCAAACAGCAGCGCATCATAAACGGGGTTCTAGATTAAGCTACCATAACAGGGATCAATAGTAAATAATATGGCTTCTTTATTCAGGCAACTTAAATTAAGTCCTTGAACAAGAACATCCCATTAAATTAGTAGCAATACCACTCTTATCACAGAGTATCATCGTAGTACTCTTGTAGTCTTGTTATAGTATTACAGTATTATCAACCCAGTAAAGTGGCCTCCCATTCCTCCCAGGGAGTTGATGAGCTGTTGCTGGCACCAGCCGCCTGCCTGGTTCGGGATGCGCTCCATCAAGCTTCCCAGAGACTCCAATATCCCTTAATTAAGGAATATACCTTAAATCATAATAGGATCCTTAATATGATTTAAGGCATAATCCTTAATTAAGGAATATTGGCGTCTCTGGCTTCCCGAGCTAGGCATATGCTATAACCGATTATAGTTCTTACGGTATACAAAACTGTATTATACTTTCTTGTTATACATATATATATATATATATATGCTGTTATATCCTCTTATAAATGTATTTACATAATTATAGTGACTTGTATTGTATCGTAGTGTATTGTGATATGCTCTACTTTCGAAGCCCTCCGCCTGTGCTTGTCGAGGGCATACTTCCGTGGCCTGCACCGGGGCGAACCAAGCAGCACAGAGCACGGGCAAAGATGCAGGCGTTGCAGTGGCCCTAAACTTTAAACCCTAAACTCCAAGCCCTAAACCCCCAAACCCTAAGCCCTAAACTCCAAACCCAAACCCCAAACCCAAAGCCCCAAACCACCCAAGCCATAAGCTAAAAAGCCTCCTCAGCCGGCCCCGGGGCTCCGAGGGAGGCGCTGGCGGGGGATGCGGAAGGCCCCGCCGGCCTCAGGACACGTCTCAGCAGGGTTTACTTAAAGGATCACGGGAGTTAGTAACTAGGGTTATAAATAAGGTAAGTATGCTTGTAGTTACTTATATCCCCAACTAGGGGACTTGTAACCTTACTTAATAAATCCCATGATCCTTCAAGTAGGGCTTTCTAATCTTAGGGTTAAGCGTTTAGGAACTATACCACAACACGTCGTAATAGTATACCTCATATTCCTGATTCAACCATGGCATAATGTACACGCTTCCTCCATATACAATCACGGTATAATATGTCCTTCTCTTCCTTACATATTCCTTACATAACCATGGTAGAAGATGCGCCCAAGACAACTTAAATACACTATTATTTCATACGGGTGCCTTCAAGAAAAGTAGTATTAAAGTATGGCGGTGCTCCAAAGCTCAGATAATTTACCCCAGAATCCCGAGCCGGAGGTCCCCGCCATCCCAGCAGATCCGCGTTCCTGCAAATCAAGACTGATGGGAGGCCAAAAGGGGGGTTTAAGATTCTTGGGGTAGGGATTCCTTAATATGAACCCTATGATGGGAACCCTAATCCCTACTAAACCCCCATAGGCAAAAACGCCTTTTGATCCCCTATGAAAAACAGAAGTGCCGGCTCCCCGCTTTCAGGTCTTAGGGTCAGGCTTTAGAGCTTGGGGTTTAGGGTCTACGGTTAAGCTTTGGGGCTTTACGGAAGCGCGATTAGTGGTAAGTTCTTTTGTTCTTAGATGTTTTTTTGCTTTTCCACAAAACTTCTTAGTTGTAACTTGTTTCCTCTTCAAAACCAACGAATCTCTGAACAGGGTTGCAAAAGACGCTTCTTAGTTATGAATTTTTGGGGGGCTCTATTTTCCAAGGGTAAAAGTAGGGACCCTTAATAAGGACCCCTAGGTATATACCCTTAATATAGCCATTATATGCCCATTATATAGCCCCTTCTAGGGTTGGGGTCCTTATTAAGGGTCCCTCCTTTTCCCCTAAACCCCCTAAACCCCCAAACCTCTAAACCCTAAACCCTAGACCCTTATAGAATCCCTATAGATCCCGTAAAAGGAACCCTAGGAGCCCTAAATTAAGGGTCCCTCCTTTTCCCCTTTGATATTTCGGAGCATGTCATGCTCGAGCGCCCAAGTTTTCTCCTTAGGGTTTTCGTCTTTCGGACCAGCTTCCTGCTGGGATCTATAGGGTTCCTTTAAGGGGATCCTCTAAGGGATCTATATAGGGTTCTTTGAAGGGATCTATAGGGTTTAGGGTTTAGGGTCTACTTGGAGGATCAGGGGACTTAGTAAGTAAGGTTATAAGTCCCCTAATTGGGGGTGATAAGTAATTATAAGTATAGTTACCGTAGTTATAACCCTAGTTACTAAGTCCCATGATCCTTTAAGTATACTCCCCATGGTTCTCGTGCGACGCCGACGGTTCCTGCTGGCTTTGCTCCTTAGGCTTCTTCGTCTTCGGCGACAGTTCCCGCGAGGTGTGCTCCTTAGGGTTTTTCGTCTTTGGGTAGAAACTTCGCGTTGGGTGTACTCCTTGGAGTTTGTGTTTCGCCAAAGGTTCGTGCTGGGTTTACTCCTTAGGGTTGTCGTCTTCGGCCTCGGCCATAGGTGTCTGCGGGGTTGACTCCTTAGGGCTTTTCGTCTTTTCGTGCTGGATGGACTCCTTAGGGTTTGGCAGCCAGTATATATCTAAGCCAACTAGATCCAGATATAGAAACCGCGTACATACATAGCCCTGGTATTAAAAGATGCAGAACCACAATCCTGAACACCAGAACAAAAACCGGGGTCGCCGGCATTGGCTAGATGAGAGACAGTATTGGCCTGGAGGGGGGCCCTCCCAACACGGAAAAAGTTACATGTAAGAAAAAAAGGTTACATCTAAGAGAAACTTGAAGTTACAGCTATCCCTGCTACCGGGCTTTACGGTCTGCACCCTTACGGGACACTTAAAGAACCCTTATAAGGACTTCAAAGGATCCTCGAGAGGGACCTCAAAGACAAGAGGAACCCTTAAAGGAACCCCCTGGAAGGGACCCTTAGACGGTACTGTAGGGGTTTCTAAAATAAGACTATATATAGGGTTCTATAATCGGGTCTTCCTTAAAGGAAGCCTTCTGGAACCCTCATAGCCGACCTCCGGCTTCGTTCACCGGAAAGCTCGGATGCTGCACTTCTCGCCCAAAGAGCTGCGCGGTGACCTTTGAGGACTTAGAAGCTTAGGGCTTAGGGCATAGGATTTAGAAGCTTAACATTCACGTAAGCACTAACATATTGGGGAAAAGTTGCTTTTTCCCCAACATGTGAGTGCTTCGAGCTTAGGGTTTAGGGTTTAGAAGCTTCGAGCGTTCTCAGCTTTGGGTCGAAGCCTCGGGTTCCCACAGCTTTGGGGTTCAGGGCTTTTTTTTTTGAAGTGCAATGGGACTCTTCGATCTGCCACAGGTCGCAGCAGCAAAGCCTCAGCCGTTCAGGGTTTGGGGTCTGCGGTTTAAGGTTTGAAGCTCCGGCGGAGGTGAACATGAATGAAAACCCCTGGTTAGCACACCACCCCTCCTTCGATGAGGATTGCACTAGGGATCCGAACCTCAAACCAGAGGGCGTGGGTTGCCACTCAAGGGTCGACATTATCTCTTACAACCTTCCTACTTGGAGGGGCAGGGGACTTAGTAAGTAGGATATAAGTAGAGTTATAAGTACCCTAAATGGAGTTACCCAGTTATAACCCTACTTATAACCTACTTACTAAGTCCCTGGCCCTCCAAGTAGAGCCCGAGAACCCTCAACTTCGACGGCCTCCTCGGCAGTCCAGGTCCCTTCTTCTTCCTGGTGGGCTGATGGCAGGCCCTCCTGCATGGCAAGGAACGAACAAAAGCAAGACCCTAAACCCTAAAACCCCCCCTCCTTAAACTTTGAGCCCTCAACCCTAAACTCTAAACCCTAAACCCTAAACTCTAACCCCTAAACCCTAAACCCTAAGCCCTAACATTTCAGAGCTCTTCTCTCTCTCTCTCGCGTCGAAGTCTCGTGCCTGCAGGTCAGCCTGCAAGTCCTTCAGGTTGATCCCGTTCAAGCGCATGCGGTAGGGATCCTGCCAAGAAGGCTTAGGGTTTAGGGTTTAGGGCTTTAGGGTTTTAGGGTTTTAGGGTTTTTAGGGTTTTAGGGTTTAGGGTTTAGGGCCAAGAGGCAAAAGGAGGGACCCTTAGTGAGGATCCCGACCCTTTTACGGCCTGTAAGATGGGTATAGAACAGCTGTAGTAAGGGTATGTACCTCGCTTGAAGGCTCATGGGACTTAGTAAGTAAGGTTATAAGTAGGTTATAATTAGGATAACCCCACTCAGGGGACTTATAACCCCAATTATAGCCTACTTACTAAGTCCTATGATCCTCGAAGCGGAGTCCGTATTAAGGGTCCCTCCTTCTATCCTTGGATCCTCCGGCTTGCCCTCCCCTTCGCCGCTACCCTTTGTGGTAAAGTCTGGCAGCTCATAGTACATTTCATCTTACTATGGCATGTTATAGCATATTATCGCAGATTAAAGCTAGCATGTTATGTGTCATGTTATAAGTATATTAGGACATAACATCTTATCGTAGGTTAAAGTTAGTATGGTGTGTGTGTGTGTGTGTTATATGGGTAGATTCTAACACATGCGGCAGGGACCCAGGGATCTGGAGAAAGCAGTTACCATAAATATCGTACATTGTAGTTACTATAGCCCTAAACACTAAAGCCCTAAACCCTACTAAAGCCCCGAGCCCTACAGTACATGAGGCAGGGATCTGGGGAAAGCTTAGGTTCAGGCTGACAGCGGCACCAGAAAGCCGAGCTCGTCCACAAATGCCTGGCTTTAGTCGGTCAGGCAGTCATGTGCTATGATGTACATAGAGTTTAGGGTTTAGGGTGTGGGGTTAGGGATAACATGCTAGGATGTACAGAAGGTCGAGGGTTTAGGGTTTAAGTTTTAGGGCTTTGGGGTCCAGGGTTTGGGGTGTAGAGTACAAGGTTTAGGGTTTGGAGTTTAGGGTTTAGCATGCTATGGTGTACATAGAGTTTAGGGATTTTGGATAGCACGCTATGATGTACAGAAGTCTTAGGGCTTAAGGTTTCGGGCTTTGGGGTTTTAGGGTTTGGGGTTTAGGGTTCGTGGTTCGGGGTTTGGGGTTCAGGGTTTCGGGTTTGGGGTTTAGGGATCGGGATAGCACGCTCTAAAGAACTATGATATAACAAGATGCTATGATTGTCATGCAGAGAGCGTAGTCTATGGTTGCGCACCCTCGTGCCAAACTCTGCACCACGGATCATGGAGCCGAAAAGCCCCAAAGCCCTAAACTGCAAGAACGTCCTAAAGCATTATGGTACTCATGGTACCCTACTAGAGAAGCGAGTCTAGATCCTTTATAGATCCTTAAAGGAGCCCTTACAGGATCCCTAAACCCTAAACCCTAAACCCTCCGACGGCCGAAGCTTTCGGCGGCCTCGTTCCCAGCGACATGGAAGCCGAAGAGCGTGGAGTTGAACCGAAGCCCCGAAGCGATCGTCGCGCAGTCCTCCGGTTGATGATTTAAAAATCCTAGGGTTCCTTTAAAGGGCTCTATTAAGGGTACCTTTTAAGGGGTTTCTTTGAGGGATCTACAGGGTTTAGGGTTTCGGGTTGATATAAATCCTGCATTACCCATAATAAGGAATATACCATAATTCCCATAGTTTAGGGTCCTGAAGGTAATGCAGGATTTATATCATCAACCGTCGGACCCCCAACTTCGAACGGTTTAGGGTTAAGGGTCTATAGGGTTCCTGCAAGGAATCTTTGACAAGGGATCCATAAGGGATCTGATAAGGATCTACGAAAGGGTTCTAGCAGTGTTCGAGAATGTTTATTCGCCTTTCAAAACTCCTTTTAGCATGTAGGGTTTCTGATCGAAGGGCCTTGCGGGGTTTGGGATCTAGGGGTTTTGGGGTGCACAGTTTAGGATTTAAGGGCTTTGGGATGTGGGGATCTGGAAGCTCAAAAGAAGTTTCAAGCCCGTCCTCGACACCAATGGAGTTGTAGGAGATGTCGAGGTGGAAAAGCTGGTCGTTGTTGGCGAGCACATCGGCAAGCATCTGCCGGCCAACCCCCGCTAAAATCCCCCAAGCCGCCCCAACTAAACCGGGCCTTGGTTAGACCAGGTTTGGGCGTACATATTATAGTGTAGTTGCATTCGCTACTCTAAGGACCTTTATTGACCCTGGGCCCCAAACCCTTAGCCCCTGAACCCCTGAACCCCTAAACCCCCAAACCCCCAAACCCCTAAACCCCCAAACCCCTAAACCCCCAAGCCCCTAAACCCCCAAGCCCCTAAACCCCCAAGCCCCTAAACCCCCCAAACCCCCCAAAAGCCCCCCAAAACTCACCCGGGCCGAACCCGCCTTGGCCGGGTTCCCGAGCTTCTTCGCTTTGGCCATACCAAGACGATTCCAGCTTAAGTCCAGCCGGGAGAGCCTAGGGTTCAGGGTTCAGGGTTTAGGGTTTAGGGTTTAGGGTTCAGGGTTCAGGGTTTAGGGTTTAAGGTTCAGGGTTTAGGGTTTAGGGTTCAGGGTTAAGGGTCCCCTCAAAGGATCATGGGACTTGGTGACTAAGGGATCATCATGGGTACTTCAAGGATCATGAGAGTGAGGATTCCAGCTTAAATCCAGCCGGGACAGTCTGGTTTCTGGCTAGGGCGGGCGGGGCTTCGGGTGTCGGGCTTGGGGTTTAGGTCTCAGGGTGTAAGGTCTAAGGGTATAAGGCTTAGGCCTTAGGATGTAGATTTCGGGCCTCTCGAAGCAGTTTCTGATAGTGTGGCAACCGTCGGAGGCCTCACAAGGTGGGATGAAGGTAGGTGGGATTAAGGATCCCTTCTACAAGGACTCTGATTTGGGAATATCCCACCTACCTTCATCCTACCTTTTGAGGCCCCCGAACCCAGAGACTCCAATATCCCTTAACTAGGGAATATACCTTAAATCATATTAAGGATCCTACTATGATTTAAGGAATATTCCTTGAACCATATTAAGGATCCTAACATAATTTAAGGAATATTCCTGAATTAAGGGATATTGGAGTCTCTGGGAAACCGAGGGCGGGGCTTGCCGCCGTTGACGCGGTTGTCCACGATGCCCTCGAGTAGCTTGTACCTCAGAGCCCTAAACCCTAAACCCTAAAACCCTAAAACCCTAAAGCCCTAAACCCTAAAGTGAGGGGAGATCTCCCCCGCATATTGTCTCTATAATAGCATCCAAAATTCTCCAAAATAGTTTAGTGGTATAAATACCGTAACAACAAACCACAGTATACTCTAATATACCATGATATACTTACGCATGTTGTAAATACCATAACTTTAATAATTATGCCCTAGAAAAACAGAACCTAAGCAAACTGGGCCCACCGCGCGCCGAGGCCGTGGAAGCTGTTCCAGTGGAGGTCGAGAACCTCAGTGGCCGGTTCCTTCATCCTTAAGGGGCCCTCTAAGGGCCTCTTTAAGTCTAAGGGTTCTCCGAAGGGCTTCTTTAAGGGTTGGGTGAAGGGTTCCTTTGAGGGCTCCTCTAAGGGCTTCTTAAAGGGTTGGGTTAAGCGTTCCTTTGAGGGTTCCTTTAAGGGTTCCTTCATCCTTTTGGGCTCCTGTAAGGTTGGTTTAGGGTTGAGTTTAAGGGCTCCTTTGAGGGTGTATGTCAGGATTCCCTTAAAGGTTCCTTTAAGGGTGTATTTCAGGATTCCAGAAGAGTTCCTTGCACAATAAGAGCTCTCTAAGTCTAGAAGCCTGAATACTTTGCTTTCACGGGTTTCTATGAGGGCTTAAGGGCTCCTGTCAAGATTTCTTTAAGGTATCTTTTCCAGTTTAGAGCTTCTTCGGGGAGTCATGAAAAAGGGGTCCTAGTATTCAGAGGTCGACCTCATGGTCCGTATGCTATAGTACACCATGGCATATCATATTATAATATCTTACGAGTACTTAAAGACTTAAAGGATCATGGGACCAGGTAACTAGGGTTATAAATAAGGCAACCATACTTATAAATACTTTTGATCCCAGTTAGGGGAATTATAACCTAACTTGCTAAATCCCCTGATCCTCCAAGTATCATATTATAATATCTTACGAATATAGTACAGCGCAGTACAGCATAGTGTGGTTTAAGAAGCACATGTTGCAGTATGATCTCTTCTGAAATTTTATGGCATGTCTGCATTCTCATATGCTGTCATGTCCCAGAGACTCCAATATCCCTTAATTAGGGAATATGCCTTAAATCATATTAAGGATCCTACTATAATTTCAGGAGTATTCCTTAATTAAGGGATATTGGAGTCTCTGGGTTGTTGTAGGTCATTGTTGTGCCTTGAGGCAGAGCCAGAAAATTGGAACTTCATTCTCCCCATGTCCTTAAGGTAATGTGCAGGGATCCTTGCACTAATCATCCTAAATCCATGTTCCAACTTTCTGGGGTTCACCATCATATCAGATTACTTAGTAGGTAAGGTTATAGGTACCTTAATTAGGGATATAAGTACTTACACGTAGAGTTACCTTATTTATAACCCCAGCTGCTAAGTCTCATGATCTTCAGAACCCTATATACTTATAGATCCCTTTTTAACACCCTTAAAAGCACCCTTCAAGGAACCCTTTAAAGAATCCTATAAAGGTTTAAAGGAAAATGGAACGCCAAAACCCTTTAATGATTGATAATTGTAGGTAAAATCTTAAGGATCCCCTGTATAATTTCAGCTATATTCCTGACTTAGGGGGTTGCGAGTCTCTGGGGGTGGTTGTCAAAATTAGGGTCCCTTTTTGGGTCCCTATTACAGTACGGCCCCTAGTATTTAGGGTACCCCAAGAAGGGACCTTAATTTTGACAACCACCCCTATAGATCCCTTATAAACCCTCTTTAAGGAGCCCTTGAAGGAGCCCTTTTAAAGCTACGAAGTACACCGTCTGCAGCCCTCCGACCCCTCTTCAAAGGACCCCTCTCAGGAACCCCTAGTCTACTTAAAGGATCATGGGACCTAGCAACTAGGGTTATAAATCTGGTAACCATACTTAAAAATACTTATAACCCCAATTAAGGACCCCGTGAAGGAACGCCGTCTGCAGCTCTCAGCCGCCAGCTCTTAGGTTCGTCAGCCCACCGACCATCTGCCCGAGAGCCTGCCGTTCAGGGTTTAGGGTTTAGGGTTTAGGGGTTTAGGGGTTTAGGGTTGAGGGGTTTAGGGGTTCAGGGTTGAGGGGTTTAGGGGTTCAGGGGTTTAGGGGTTTAGGGTTTCGGGGTTTGGGGGTTTAGGGTTTAGGGGTTTAGGGTTTAGGGGTTTAGGGTTTAGGGATTTGGGGGTTTAGGGTTTAGGGGTTTAGGGTTTAGGGTTTCCAAGGCGATCTTCAAAGAAAGTCGCGGGCTCCTTTATAAAGGGATCTAGAAGGGTTCCTTTAATGGTTCCTCTAAGGCATCTATCGGGTTTAGGGTTTGAGAAAGTCTATCGCAGTATAATGTAGTATGGTATGCGATACGGGATATGTTGGAGCATCTCAGCATATTGCATCAGATTTGATCGAATTCTGAGTTTATCCTCATGGTATATTATGGTTCGGAGATGTAAGATATAGGGTTTAGGGGAATTTTAGCGTTTATCAAAGGGAAAAGGAGGGACCCTGAACGGGGACCCCTACCCTATAATGGGCTGTATCATGGGTATATATTGGCTACAATAAGGGTACATACCTAGGGGTCCTTATCAAGGGTCCCTTCCTTTACCCTTGGAGTTTAGCAGTGCGGAAGAAGGCCTAAGGGCAATCTTGCGTCTTTGACTCATAAGAGTCCACTGTCAAATGAGTCTTCCATGCAAAGCCCCCAAAAAACCCTACAGCCCTAAGCCCTATACTAAACCCTAAAGCCCGAAACCCTGAAACCCTAAAGCCCTAAAGCCCTAAGCCCCCTTGGAATATACCCTTAATATAGCTATTTTATACGCATTATATAGCCCATTACAGGGTAGGGGTCCTTATTAAGGGTCCCTCCTTTTCCCCCTAAACCCCCTAAACCCCCTAAACCCCCTAAACCCCCAAACCCCTAAACCCTAAACCCTATACCCTTATAGAATCCCTATAGATCCCTTTAAAGAATCCCTATAGATCCCTGTAAAGAATCCCTATAGATCCCTTTAAAGGGTCCCCAAAAAAAGGGTCCGGCTCTGAGCATAAAGACGGCAGCCCGGCCTGGCCAAGCTCGTGGTTGACTCTGCCCAACCTCGGCATTTCACGGTAGGGTCTGGGGGTTTAGGGTTTAGGGTTCCTATTAAAACCCAAAGGGTCCTAGGTACTGTTATGGGGGATACGGTTGATGATATAAATCCTAGGGTTCCTTTAAAGGGATCTATAAGGGGTACCTTTAAGGGGCTCCTGTACCCTAGGGTTTAGGGTTGATGGTATGAATCCTACTTAAAGGATCATGGGACTTAGTAAGTAAGGCTATAAGTCCCCTAATTGGGGTTCGAAGTAATTATAAGACTAGTTACCTTATTCATAGGACTTACGGTGGATGATATAAATCCTAGGGTTCCTCTAAAGGGATCTATAAGGCTCCAAGCGGTACCCTAAACCCTAAACTCATACATCCCTTAGAGGATCCCCTTAAAGAATCCCTAGTAAACCCCCAAAATAGGGAAGCCGAGGCCAGGGGGCTGGTTCTGCGCGAGGCTCAAGGCCCGTAGCTCCTTCGCCCGGCTCAGCGCCTAAAGGCGACGGATGGGCGCTGATCCGAAGTGCTTGAGGGTTTAGGGTTTAGGGTTTAGGCTTTCTTACCTTTGGTTAGTAGGGAATGGAAGAATGGTAGTAATAGTAGTTATAATGGTACCCCATTCCCTACTAACCAACGGTAAGCTAAAGGCGACGGATGGGTGCTTTTCCGAAGTGCTTGAGGAGTTTTGTTCAAGGGGTTCAGAGCTTTAAGGCTTTAGGCTTTAAGGCTGTTTATGACTTAGGGCTTTACGAGTTTAGGACTTTAAGGTTTGGGTCTGCAGGTCTAGGTTTTCGGACTTCAGGGTCTTCGCTCTTTCGGGTGTGACGTGTAGGGTTTCGGATATTAGGTTTTAGGGCTGTAGGGTGCAGGGTTTACGGTACCGGTTTTAAGCTGGACGGCTTATGCTCTAGTCTAGCAACTTTCTCAGCACTGTATACGATGTTGTAGACGGTTTACACCACTACCTATGTTACATCATATTGCATTGAGAAAGGACTTTGTTTATTGTAATTCCACAACTCAGAGCCAGGCATCAATGAAGTTGCACAGGTCGCGCTCGTACGCGTCGGCTGCTGCAACGTTTGGCCCGAATGGAGTGCCCAGGCGATTGCCCTGGCAATATGGGAGTTTCCGAAAATTAGGAGTACCTTCTTTTGGGGTTCCTTATAATAAGGATCCTACTAGTTAGGGTACTAGATTAGGGTCCCCTACGGTTGATGATATAAATCCTGCATTACGTTAAGGACCCTAAACTATGCGAATTATGGTATTACGGTACATTCCTTATTATGGGGTAATGCAGGATTTATACCATCAACCGCATTTCGGAAACTCCCATATGGACCTCTGAACCCTAAACCCTTTTAGAACCCCTATAGATCCCTTAAAGGAACCCAAAGGGTCCCCTCTTTTCGGAAACTCGCATATCGACTCTGCCGTGGCTCTCAAGGTTTAGGGTTTGCTTTTTCAGGGTTTGGCGGGTCAGGGTTTGGGGTTTAGGAATTTTAGGTTTTAGGTTTTGGTTTTAGGGTTTAGGGTTTAGGGTTTGGGATTCAGGGTCTAGGGGTAGGGTTGAGGGTTTAGGTTGAGGGCAGCCTTGTCAATCCCATGCCAGCCCCAGAGCACATCACAACTCAAAGTAAGAAAGAGAATGACAGCTGTAGACAGATAGCGTGAGCAAGAACAAGAAGTAGGCACATACAAATCGAAGTAAGAATAGGTCTGACACTGAGTAACGAAAAGAATGGGAAAGAAAGGGGAAAGAGAAATGATAAGAGTAAAAAACCACAGGAATCGTGATATTAAGTAATTGCGATGATGATACCCCACCAATAACAACAATAACAAGAACAGCAGTTGGTAATCCTCATACGAATATCGTCAACAGCGGTCATGAAGATAACACTAGCGGTAGTATCAATGATCATGCTACTTCTAATGAATATACTAATAACAACGATACTCGTAACAACATAACCATGTTTGTATTCGAAATAATGCGAGTAAAGAAGAAGAAAAAGATTATGACCATGAAATTAATAGCAACAATACTAATCCAACAGATAGACATGATGATTGTCATCGTGTCATCATCGGGAACAAATGCACTTGGCTCAGAACGTTCGAAATTCCAGGGTTTTGTTGAGGAGCTTCACTGGCACAATTAAAATGCTATAGTAATGAGGCCTATTCCTTAGACCCTACAACTATGGCAATTTAGATTATGATTAAGTTCCTTCTCAAGCCTAAACCCCAAAAAACCCTAAACCTGGGACCCTAAATCCTAAACCCTGATACAACCCTGAAAGATCTCTTAAAGGAGCGCTAAAGCTGGATATTGAATTCCTTCACAAGCTCCCAGAACTTTTTGCTCCACAGGCCGGCCTGGAGATTCAATTCCATCAAAGGCGTGTTGGACCCACTCTTTCGAAGGACCGTCTCCTCTTTAGGTTTAAGGATTATTCGGCGTTAAGGGTTGAGGAAGTTTAGGGTTTAGGCGGTTTCGGGTTTGATGTTTCTGGTAATTTAAAGGGGTTTGTAGGGGTATCGTAGAATTTGACAAAGTGCTGTAGGGTCTTAGGGGATCTTCCAGGCTGTTGTACGGGTTCCTCGTGGCTACCAGGGCTTGATTCCAGCGGTCCCAGAGACTCCAATACCCCTTAATTGGGGAATTATTCCTTAAATCATATTATGGGTCCTACTATAATTTAAGGTATATTCCGTAATTAAGGGGTATTGGAGTCTCTGGGGTGTTCTCTTCCTAGTTGTCCGGTATCCTAAGGAAGGAGACCTCAAGGGTAACCTTCGGGAGCGTGCAGGGATGATAATGTCCCTAAACCCTAAACCCTAAACCCTAAACCCTGAACCCAAAAAAAAGGTTAATGGTTACCTACCGTCGTACTAAGTAAGTGTTGGTGCTTCTTGGGTGGTTCGCGAGGGTTGTTAGGCTGACAGTTCAGGGTTTGGGTAGGGACTTCGCCGGTGCGTGTTTAGGGTTTGTTGAGGGTCGTCTGGCTTTAGGGCCTAGGGTTTTGGGGGGGGCTTAAGGGACTGTTAGGGTCGAAGGCTTTAACACCTTTGGTTCCGGGGGTTTGTCGGGATGGGGGTTTAGTAGGGCGTGGCCAGAAACATAACCGAGGCCGCGGCGAAGTGGCGCATGCCGGCCACGCCGATAAGATTGTGGGAGAGGTTCAATGCCTGGTCGAAAGCAGAGGGCACCCCTTCATGTTTGCCTCATAATGATGTAAGAATAGCTTAGTGATGATTAATCATAATTGTGCTCCTCTTCTTCTTCCTATTACTCTTATGACTATGGTCCTCATGAATATTTCTACAACAGAAAGAGAGACGTTCCTTTACGGGTCCTTTAATGGTTACACGAAAGGTTCTAGAGATTCTGTAAGAGTCCAGGAGGGTCCCCCAATTCCCGGAGAGCCCAATATCGTTTCAATGAATATACCACCTTAAACACTGGGTTTCAATAGTGGTTGTAAGGGTACGACGCGAGGGCCTGACGCCTTAAACCCTCAGCAATAAACCTTACGGAACCCTCATGGAACCGTTTTCGATGTGTTAGGGATCCCTCTTACAGGAAGCCTTAAAGATTTGGAGTTTAAGGTGTAGCCTGGAGGGTCGAGGAGTTCAAAGGTAGGATGCACGAACCAGTGACAGGGTTTTTCGAATTGTGCCCCGTGTGGTGAACTTCAGAGGGCGAAGCCTCTTGGCTTGGTCGGTTGATGTAACCACTCATAATAACCAAAGTAAGAACAGTAGCCCAAAAACAATAATAATTACAGTACCAGTCTAAAACCATACCGTAATTGAAAACAACCGTCATCATCGCGATCATAAGAGGAAAATGACAGTAGTAATGTAGCACACTGACAAGTAGAAGTATGCTAATCATGACAGTCATGTTCGTAGCACTTTTCTTCAGCCTGTGCTCTGGGCAAGAGCTTCTCGCAGATGATGGGCACAGATCTGTCCTGCAGGGTTGCGAAAAGCTCAAAGGCCCTACGGTTGGGGGTGTAGGGCTTGGGATTTGAGCTTGCGGCTTGTGAGTTACTTGAAGGCTCGTGGGACTTAGTAAGTAGGTTATAATTGGGGTTATAAGTCCCCTAAGTGGGGTTATCCTAATTATAACCTCCTTATAACCTTACTTACTAAGTCCCATGAGCCTTCAAGTAAGGGTTGAGGGCTGAGGGTTCGGACCCTCATCGAAAGCACACTCCCTAAGTCTACGACGCATTGCACCAGACCCGACGCACTCCTCGATGCGGTTCTCAGAAAGGTTGCAGCGTGTACAATGGTCGAGCGCACCAGGAGCCTCCGAGAAAGAGCGGTTGAACTTCGACACCCTCCCTAAACCCTAAGCTGCAGAACCTCAACCCCAAACCCTAAATCCAAGTTTCGACACAATCACAAGTTGGAAACATGTTCAATTAAAACCTGTGTTAGTATACGATGGTACATTATAGTCTCTTAGAACACTTACAATCTAACGTGCATTAAAAACACTTCTTGTCTGTTTTCGTCCACTATAGTGTGTTACAGTCTGCTCGACTTATAGGTAGTTGTCAAAATTAGGATCCCTTTTTCTGTCCCTAACATAATACGGCACCTAATATTTAGGGTACCCAAAGAGGGACCCTAATTTTGACAACCACCCTTATAGCAGGTTAGAGTCCAGTGCTGCGGCCTGGCAAAGCATGTCCAGCCGGTCGGAACCGAGACTCCAACCTGCAAAGGGGAAACTGGGGGCCGGCACCAAGAAACACCTACAGTTTAGGTACTGCCCCCATACAGTAGGAGCCTATAAAAAAGCTACTATTAAGGTCCTAACATATCCATATTATGAATATTATTCAACTATTGCACCGAGAAACACCTAGAGTAAACCCCATAAAGTTGGGAAACCGGATTAAGGCCAAATAGTGCTGGGATTCCCTATACATTACTCTTGAGGATTGAGGCCGTGGAGTTTCCAACTTTTGGGCTTCTACTGTATAGTAAATACTACAACAAAGCATAGTGTATTATGGTATCTTTATGGTCAAGTACGGTATGTTATCGTATACTATAGTTAAGTATAGGCAAGTATTGTATGTTATGGAACAGCATCTTCTATTGTAGAATATGGTATTGTACAGCGTGGGAAGCAAAACTTAAAGATACTACAGTATTCTACCAAAGAACCATAACCTACCGTAACAGACCATAATATACCGTGGACTACCAGAATACACCAGAGCATACAATAGACTATAGTATACCAGAGTGCTGGATAGAGGTTGCTAGAGTATACTAGAATATACCAACATGGACTACAATACGGGGAGTTCTCTAACTTACGATCCCCTTTAAGCCCTCGAAGTGATACGGCAACCTTATGAAAGGATCCTAGAAGGGACCGTATCACCCCAGATCATAGTTCTGCATAGCACGTTATCCCTAAACCCCAAACCCTAAACTCCTAAACCCATGATGTACTACAAGTGGATCCCAAGCTATTCGACTTCTGCCAAGCACGCGCCTCCGAAGTCCAACACGCCTGGCTCAACCTCGATTCGGAGACCCACGGCTTGCATGATCAGGGGACTAAGTAGGGTAAGGGTTCCACAAGGGTTTCTATAAGGGTCTCTGTAAGACCATCTATAAGAGGAACAGGGGACTTAGTAAGTAAGGTTATAAGTGCTTTTATTAGGGTTGTAAGTAGTTTTAAGTGCCTTATTTATACCCCTAGCTACTAAGTCCCGATCGTTAGAACCCTATACGGGTATGTAGATCCCTTATAGAACCCCTTTCAAGGAACCGCTTAAGGAGCCTTTTAAGGAACCTTCTTAACCCAAGCTACCTCGTCCCGTAGTCTTTAAGCAGGGCTGATTAGGGGTCTCCGTTCTGGTATCGAACCCCATACTACCCTTTCACGGAAGCCTAAGGACTGAGGAAGTAGACGGTTTCGGGTTTAGGGCTTTTTTTCTTTTAAGGGCTCCTTTTCGATCTGCAGAGTGCTTTACAGGGTTTAGGGTTTAGGGTTTCGGGTTTAGGCTTCAGGGCTTAGCCGTAGACTTCGAGGCGCCGTCCGGAAATCCAGCAAACTTAGACCACGGCCGCCACTGGGTCCACAACGGGATGCGCATGTCCCTGAAGTGCGGGAGGGTTTAGGGTTTAGGGTTTAGGATGCGCATGTCCCTGAAGTGCGGGTGCGACTGCTTCAAGGGCCTATAGTCTCTGGCGCAGCCGGCTAAGTCTGCCTTGGCCTGTCTCGGGGTGCTTCCACGCGGGCCGAGAGGTATGTAGTGCCTGAGTCGGTTGACACTATACCTGTAGCCGGAAAGACCTACCTTTTTAGGGTTCCTTATTATGGTTTCTATATATAGCTCCTTAAAAAGGTAGGTCTTTTCGGCTACAGGTAGTTCAGCCCAAGGGTTTCTGCAGGGTTTCCACCAGAGTTTGTCTACCAAGAAGCTGCAAGAAGCACGACTCCGCGCCTCTCCCGGCATCGGCGATAGTAGTCCGAGACGTACTCCTCGTGTTCGGACCGCCTGCCAAGAGTGTCGATGCACTGCTGCCACTCAGTTTTGGTTTTTGATTTCGTTGTTGGCACTAGTAACTCACTCGTATGATCAGCATTGTTCCTATATACGAACAGCTCATATTCTCGTTGTGCATCACCCCCATGATCTGACTTTTAATCCCCAACCCCACTTTGAACTTTGGCCCCCAAGCGACGAAAGGAGAGCCTCCTGGTGAAGCAGTATCAGAATTGTGAGTCGCATTCTTCGCATGTTCTTCTTCCGCACGAGTAGTAGCATGCAGGTCTTCATGCCCACATGTTTGCGCCAGGAGAACTACGACAAGAACAACAATAGTACAAACAGCAACAACAATACCATAGTACTGATCATGGTAGTAGTAACCATAATATGAATACTCATAGCAGTAGTACGAGTAATGCTGCAAGAACCCCAAACCCTGACCCTAAACCCTAAACCCCCAAGCCCTGAAAGAACCCTTATCGAAACCCTGTAAAGGAAGCCCTAAAGAAGAGAGCCACCTGGTGAAGCCTAAACTCCCAACCCTAAACCCTAAACCCCTAAACTCTAAATCCCTATGCCCTAAACCCCAAACCCTAAACGCTGAACCCCAAACCCTAAACCCTAAACTCTAACCCCGAAACTCCCCTAAACCCTAAACTCCAAATCCTAAACCCGTGAGGAGCGCCACCTGGGTGGTTGTCCAAATTATGGTCCCTTTTTGGGGTCCCTAAAATATTACGGCACCTATTATTTGGTTACCCAGCAAGGGGCCAGAATGTTGAAAACCACCCTAGACCCCCCTAAACCCTACCATAGACCCCTTTAAGGAACCCCTTATGGATCCCTTTAAAGGAGCCCTTATAGATCCCATAGAAGCCCCATAACTTTGACAACCACCCACATAATCCCCAATAATGGCCCCCATAGCCCATTCCCCCATTCCCTTGCTTACAGTACCCTTCTAGATCCCTTATAGTAGCCTTTATAGACCCCTTTAAGGAACCCCATTATAGATCCCTTTAAAAGAGCCCTTATAGATCCCAGAGAAGCCCTAAACCCTAAACCCTAAACCCTAAACCCTAAACCCTAAACCGTACCTGGTGAAGCCGAGGTGGGAGATCCGCCAGTCTGACTGCTCCAGGCCGGAGATCCGGCTTGTGGCCAGGTCCTGGCTTAGGGTTTGGGGTTTAGGGTTTCGGGTTTGGGGTTTAGGGGTTAGGGTTTAGGGGTTAGGGTTTGGGGATTAGGGTTTGGGGTTTAGGGATTAGGGTTTCGGGTTTGGGGTTTAGGGATTGGGGTTCAGTGTCTAGGGTTTGAGGTGCAGGATCCTAGTCATCTCATTTTCTTGAGGGGGGCGGAAGGAGGGGAGGAGGTCTTTAGGGAATGGGGGGCAGTTGCTGCTTTTTTTGCTTGGGTTCTTGCTGTTTCTAGCCTCGGGTGCCATGAACTCATGGCAGAGCATTGTTGTAGTCGGGACTCTGTGATAATAGAGCTTAATTGGTTTGGCATCCAGATTGTAGGACTTTGGCATTTTGGATTTCGGGTTTAAGGACAAGTGCGGCTCAGACAACATAGGTTTCATAGGCTAAAAGCTCAGGAACTACGGTTCCGGGTTTAGGACTAGCTCAAGGTTGCTCAGGCTAAGACCGTCGGGCGTCGGGTGTAGGGCTCCCGAGCGACACTTTGAGAGCCTCCACTTCGGATGGAGCCGTCGTCGAGACCTCGACATCGTGGGCTCTCGCAGGCTCCAAAGGTGGGATGAAGGTAGGTGGAGTATTCCCAATTAAGAGTTCTTATATAAGGGATCCTTCATCCTACCCACCTTCATCCCACCTGTTGAGGCCTCCGACACGAACGCTTGTAAACGTACAGATAGTGCATGTTTGGTACGTAGTTCTTGGTTAATAATGCCAAAACACCCAATACATACTCTGTAGTACATGCTGGCTGCACACTACTTTGTACCTATCCTATGAACAATGATAGTTACAACATGTTGTGACTAACAGATACGACTAGTACAGTAACGCTCGTCTCAAAGACATGGCCTCTGCTTTCCCGCCGTGGAGCAGCCTCTGCCACCTGCACGAAAAAGCTGAGCGAGAGCCATCAGAGCGAAAGACTTTGCACGAAGGCACCGACATGAGCGAAGAGAGAAGAGAGAGAGAGAGAGAGACAGGGAGAGAGCGAAGGAAGGAAGGAAGAAAGGCAAGAAAAGGAGTCAACGTCAGTAAGCCACGAACTCCTCAAACTCGCTCAAGGTCTTCTTGGCACTGCCCGCCTCCGCACAGAAATTGCTGAACTGACGAGGGTTCAGGGGCATGACACTGACAGCCGCCTCGTTGTACTTCTGCCAATACTCCTAGAACTGCGACATCTCTGAATGTGATCGGTTCGCACAAGCTTCGGCTGCGACCAAAACGTCGCCCTGGCGGAGGTGTAAATCTTGCAGCTCATATCTGATCACTCAGTCTTTATCCTTGTCTGGCTACGCTTTTCGGTTTACGGTTTCGGGTTAAGGGCTTCTAAACCCTAAACCCCGAAACCATGATTTAGCCTTGTGTCAAGGATGAAAGGCTTAAGGCTTGCCCCATGTCCTGCTTGAGCTGCTCACGCTGGGCAACTGCCACGAAGGTCTCGTCGTGATTTTCCTGGTTCGGCATGTGTCATTTCGCATTCGCTCTGCATGAATGCATGCATAGATGGATAGATGCATGCATGGATGGATGCATGGATAGGCTTGGTGGGTTAAACAGATTAGTTTGATGAGATAGGCTCGAGATATTAGGCGGGCAGCTGCCTGAAATAAATCGAATCCATGCCAGGCCACCTTCACTGCCCTAAACCCTAAACCCTAAACCCTAAACCCCTAAACCCTACAAACCAGAAGTTGTTGCACTGCTGGCCTCCAGCTCCTTCTCTAGCTGGGCATCCAGCAGCTTTAGCCGGGCCTCTTTAGGGTTTAGGGTTTAGGGTTTAGGGTTTAGGGCCACAAGTCCTTATCGTCTTGGTTTCATAAGGATGTTAATATGGCTAGTTCTCTAAATTAGGGTCGCTTTTAAAGTCCTTATCATAAGGGTGCCGTACTATTTTGGGGGCCTAAACCCTGCTTCAGAGAACTTCTCATGTGGGTGCCTTAAGGTGAAACGTTGCTGTGCCTTGCTACGATTCGGCAGGAACCTGGGGAGGACGAATGTGGGAGGTAGCAGGTGGTAGGCAGTAGGTACAGGTAATATAGGGGCCTTGACAAATACCTATACTATTCTGGGGGTTCCTTATTATAATCATAGTATAATGGGCCCAGAAGCCCGATTCTAAGGCCCCTATATTATAGGTATAGGTGTCAGTGTAGGTGTAGGTGTGGGTGTTAGTGTAGGTGTTGGTGATAGAAGGAGTTAATGTGATTCTGCACTTTTATTACTCCCTGTGGCTGTTCGAGGATTCTCGGCGGGTAGCTACACGGCGGCACTTGTTGGTGTACTCCTCCACAAATTATGGGGCTGCTTCTTCGGATTGACCCCCGACCAGCGCCCCGGCCGATTCAGGGAAAAGGGAAGCCCCACCGCTCGCTGGGATTGAGCTTGGCGCCGTTGGAATGCCGGATTGGTTCGTATATGCATCGCTGAACTTCCAAAGGGATGGTGGGATGCAGTGGGGCAGTCCCAATTACTATAATATACGATAATATGCTATAATATACTGTATACTACAATACTACAATATGCTATAACTTGCTAGAATATTCTATAATTCTATAACATGTTACAGTATACTATATCACGTATTGTTGCTCAAGCCCCTTGCTGGGTGCCTCCCGATTCCGGGCGCTCTGCCGCGACTCCGCTCCGGTGCCAGGACGGCTTCCTGAAGGATGGAAACGGAAAGTTTCAATGCGAGTAAGGGTAAGGCTTACGGGATGGGGTGTAGAGTCTGGGGTTAAGGGTTTAGGGTTCAGAATGATAGTGCTTAGGATTCTGCAGATTCCTTACCTCACGCATGCTCTAAAATACCCCCAAAACCTGTTCTTGCAGGGCCCGCGTATGAAGCAAAGCGACGCCTGCTTTGGTTATGAAGGCCCTTAAACCCTAAACCCTACTTAAAGGATCATGGGACTTAGTAACTAGGGTTATAAATAAGGTAACTAGACTGATAATTACCTATAACCCCAATTCGGGGACTTATAACCGTACTTACTAAGTCCCATGATCCTGTAAGTAAACCCTGTATGACGCAGCCGAGTGCACAAAAGAAGCTGCAAGCCTGGGCGTGGACTCGCCAAGGAAGGTAGCGTCTCCTAGAAAAAAGTCTCAGGTTTCGGGCATGGAGATGTCGGTTTAGGGTTTTGGGTTTTTTTTTTTTTTAAGTGTAATGGGTTTTGGGTTTTTTTTTTTTAAAGTGTAATGGGTTTTGGGTTTAGGATCTAGGGTTTTGGGTTTAGGATCTAGGGTTTAGGGTTTAGGGTTTCTTTTTGAAGGCCCTTTTCTACCTCTTGTGCAGCTAGAATTCCTCTACCAGGAGGAGCCTGTGGGGTTTAGTGTGTAGGGTTCAGGGAAGAAGGGTTCTCGCCCTTCATGCTTCAAATCCGTCAAGACGAAGCACTCTCATGCACTAAACCCGGAACCCTAAACCTTAAAAGTTGCCCCACCCTGTAATAGTGAGTCTAAGGAGTATATATTAGGGCCCGATTCTATTCCTAGTATACCACTATTTCCGGGTGGGGGCCCCTTCTAACCAAAACCCAAAAACTGAGCCCTACCCTTAGCGCAAGAAGTCGGACCAGCCGGTCGAATGGCTGCAAGCGCTCTTGTCATGAGCAAGATTTCTATAATACTGTGGGCTACTAGAGAAACTGTCGTTTCAATTTTGTGGTAACATGAACGGTCAGCTATTGAAAGCAAAACCCTAATCGGGGTTTTGTCCTTCTGAAAACTTAAACCACAGGCCAGAGGTGTTTAAAGACACTAGTAGGAACCCACCGGTGTATTGAAAAAAATGCTATCTCAAAACCAAGTTTTTCAATTCGACCCTAAACCCTAAGCCCTAAGTTGCTCTAAACCTCAAACGCTTCAACCTTCAACCCTAAACCCTCAACCCAAAGCCCACGCCAGACCCTGTTCGTTGGCTCGGTTGGTCGAATGTGTATGTTGACGGCCTCGGCAGGCAAGCTGTTCTCGAAGAAAGCGAAGTCCTGCAGAAGGGCATTGAGTGCTTTGGGTGTTGGGTTTGGGGCTTGGGACTTGCTGTTGAGGTTAAGGTTTCTTTACGGTCCTGAGCACGATGCTTGTCTTTCAAAAGATTTAGGCTGCAGGGTTCCTCTTAACCCCGAACCCACTTTTTACTCTGAACCCTTAAATTCAAACCTTCAAAAAAGCCTGAAAAACACACAAAGAACGCTTGGATCGTAAAACTCCGATTGCACCCATGTAAACCCTTAACCCTGAGCTCGTAAACAATCCGGGCGCGCCAGCGTGCCGAAACCCTAAACCCTAAGCCTAAACCCTAAAGCCTGAAGCCTGAACCCTAAACCCGGAGCCAAAACCCAAAACTGCAAATCCTAAATCCTAAACCCTAAACCCTAAGCCTGAACTCTAAACCCTAAGCCTAAACCCTAAATGCTAAATCCTAACGCCTACAGCGGTGGCTTTTTCCCCGCAGAAGGCGGCGCTTTGCGCCAGGCTGCAAAGCGCTTCCCGGCCGAGACGGGAGCCCAAGCTGAAAGACTTCTCCTGAAGGTCGGGTCTGCCATACAATCTCACCATAGTGTAACCTATATATACATATATATATGTGTCCACATATGTATATATATATATATAGAGCGAGAGAGAGAGAGAGAGAGAGAGAGAGAGAGAGAGAGAGAGAGAGTGGGAGAACTAGATGTATGGAGAGAGAGAGAGAGAGAGAGAGAGGATAATGCACATGAATATACTTGTTTGTTCATGTAGTTGTGTATTTAACTGCATGTCTTGATATAGATATACATATAGACAGGTAGGCAGATAGATAGATAGATAGACAGACGGATAGACCGACAGACAGACAGACCGACGGACAGACAGACCGACGGACAGACCGACGGACAGACGGACGGACACAGACGGACAGACGGACAGACAGACAAACAGGCAGGTAAAAAAAACGCAGGTAAATGGGTAGGTAAGTAAGTGGGTGCTGGGTGCGTAGATAGATATTCTACATACACAACTATTCACGGATTGATTGATTGTTTACCTCACGACTCACGACTCTCAGCCGTGCTGCACCACAGAAGCGACTGACGCTGCTCTACTGAGTAGACAACTGCTCCAAGTCCCTGTCCAGATGAGGTTCCCGATGCACGGCAGACCTGTCCACATCAAGCTTGACTGCCGGAACGTCCGCTGATTCTGAAAACTCCTAAAGGGAACTCCAGAAAGTTGGAATATGGTTTCAGGGTAGGATACCTTATAATTTACCATAAAGGGTTTAGGATAATCATATTCCAACTTTCTGGCTTGTACTTTAAACCCTGGACCCTCTCACTCAACCCAAACGTGCTCCCGGCAAAGTGGAACCCTCCTGCTGCGCACTCCCGCCCGGCGCAGCGCTTGCCCAGCTGTGAGGAGCGGCCTCGAGACGGGCATGTTCGTCTGTAGGCTTGAAGATTGCTTAAACGGGTCTATAGGGTTTTTTAAAGGGATCTATAGGGTTTAGGGTTTGGGGTCTACTTGAAGGATCAAGGGATTTAGTAAGTAAGGTTACAAGTCCCCTAATTGGGGCTATAAGTAATTATACGCATAGTTACCTTGTTTATAACCCTAGTTACTCACTCCCATGATCGTTTAAGTAGGCTTGAAGATTGGATACTTCCCCCCCCCACCCAGTAGGAGCTGAATGATACATACAATATAGATGTTTAAGGCCCTGACTAGTAACCTTGTTATAGACTGGGATACAGTTCCCAACTTGAAGACAGTACATCGATCAAGTCCCTGCTGTCCTGAGCTCTCGCCGGGAGAGGTGATGCCACTCAGAAGGTACCATGCCACCATCTAGCCCGGAGAAGATCTCCAGCGCCGGCACAATCGGATGCGTCTCCTCCAGGACCAAACCCTAATTCCCAAACCCTAAACCCTGAAACCCTAAACCCGAAACCGTAAACCCTAAACCCGCTTTGCGCCAGACTTCTGAAAATCTTGCAGCATCCCAGGCTTCGACAACCTCGCCTCCGCACCAGCCTCCAGCCAGTAGGCTAGACCCTAACCTAGAACCCAAGTGATAGAATCCGTGAACCCAAGCAACAAGGCATCCTCATTATGAGAAGCGCCTTATATAAAACCCCAGTACAAAGCCCTAACATACAATCCTAGGTATTAGAGATCCTTCTGTTGAGAATACCCCCAACACAGGCCACCAGCGAGGCACAACGCATCGCCACTCCGACATGATCCGAAAAGCCCCCAGAGGTCAAAAATGGCAATGTCAGAGAGCCCGACGACGCCCAAAATGAGGACCATACCCTTTAATGAAAGCATGCCTAATGCTGTGATCCAAAGCCAAAAATCAAAATGCCATGCCCCGTTAACGCGAAACAATGCATGAAAGTTAAGGTACTTAAAGGATCATGGGACTTAGTAGCTAGGGTTAAAAGTATGGTAACTATACGCATAATTACTTATAACCCCAATTAGGGGACTCTTACCCCTTACTTACTCCTCCAAGTATGGCCCAACAAGTCCCATGATCCTTTGGGTATACTTTCCCCAAGGGCCTCCACCGAGCGATGGAAGCTTTGGCCCTGAGCGATTGGATGTCGGAGACGCCTGGACACCTCTCGGCGCAACCTGGGATTCTTGGCTTTGTTGTCGATTGTTTGGGGTTTAGGGGTTTAGGATTTAGGGTTAGTGGGAACCTGGGATTTTTGGATATTTCACCACCCCCCCCTCTGTACTCTTGGCTGGTGACTCGGCTGAGATATTGTGTCTAAACACACCTAGATATACAACGTATACTTTGACATGCCATGAACTGAGGACGCATGCACCAGACGTGCGGCACATGAGTTACGTAATAGCTTTGTGGTAGTGTCGCTGTTAGAGTATTAGAACTAATATTAGTATTAGTGTTTACTGGAAGTGTACATATCAATATTAGTAAGTATAGATTAATGTTAGTGCTCATGTTCGTGTTACTGTTAGTGTTAGTGCCAGTGCCAATGTCAGTAATAGTACAGTACCACTGCTGGTATCAGTATCAGTCTTAATGCTGGGTTTTATATCAGCGAATATTCGAAGAAGTGTTAGTATTAGTATCAATGTTAGAATTAGTTTTGATATGTTAGTATGTTCATAGTTTCGTATATGAGCAGATTAGTATATCAACACATTGATGTATTCGAGCAGTAACATATTTGTATACGTGTATATTAGTATATTTGATATGTTAGTACAACTGGTGCAGGAGTACACTAGTATATTGGTTTGTACATTAGTATATTAGTATACTAGTATGTGTACTATATTCATGTATGGTCTAATCGTTTACAGGTATATCAGTATGTTGGCATAATAGTATACTAGTTTGTCATGTCGGTATACTTGCATGTTGCAGTCGTCGTGTATTCGTATATGCGCATATTAGTATAGTATATTCAGACATTAACAGGTAGAATATTGTTACATTGGTGTATGGGTATATGCTTATCCTAAAACATTAGTACATGAATGCACCAACACACATATATATGTATATATATATATATACATATATATATACATATATATATACATATATATATACATATATATACATATATATACATATATATATATGTATTATAAGATAGGGGTATGAATTTGTATGGACATTAGTACATGCAGGTTTCTATTCGTGATAGTATTCATGTTCATATCAATATGAATATACTATTGGTATTCGTAGGAGTATTCATGGCAATATTAGTGTTAGGACTATTCATAGTCGTATTAGCCTTCATATAAGTGTTCTTGCTGGTAATGATGCTGGCATTTCTTGAATATTCAACAGATTATCAATGTCCGTATTAGTGTTGGGGAAAGCATTACTGTTAACACCACAAGAGTTTACGTATTCGTGTTCGTAGGAGTATCAATACTTATGTGAACATTGATGTCAGAATAAATATTGTGATGAGTATTAGTAGCAGTGTTAGCACTAGTACCATAGTATTGATATGATGGTTTGTATTCGCAGGAATGTTTGTATTAGTATTATTCTTGATCACATGGAAATACTAACAGTTGAATACATGAATGAGAAAAAGCATTTGCAATTTAATGTGGTGGTATGCATATTTATATACACTAGTATATGCAGGTGTGTATTGGTATTGGTATTAATATACACTAATATCAATATGAATATGATTATTGATGTGCGTAGGAGTATTGTTGTCAATATTAATCAATATTAGTCTTCGTCTTATGCATATTCGTACTTGGCTATAAAAAAGTGTAACATTAGTATTAATGCTGGTATTAGCTTGAGCATTCAACAAATGATCAAGGCCAATATTATTAGTATTGGCAATAGTACTCGTAGGAGTATCAATACATAAATATATATATATATATATATGTATGTATGTGTATATATATATATATATAGATATAGATATTCGTCTAAATGTGGGCATGAGTAGTGACAGACCTTGCATTGCAAGTGAGTCGTAGTGCATGGTCTGTCATCGGATGGGTCACAATCAGCCCTCCTGATAATCACCTCCAAGAACTACAAAAATTTCAAAAAATCCAAAATTTCCAAAATATCCAAAAACTTTCGAAAAATTCAAGAATTTCCAATATTTCCGAAATTTCCAATATTTCCAAATTTTCCAAAACTTCCAAAATTTCCAAAATTTCCAAAATCCTCAGACCTAGAGGACAGGGTTTTTCCAAAGCATGTGGGCGAACTTTTTGGAAATTTTGGAATTTTTGGGCATATTGGAAATTTTGTAACGTTTGGAATTCTTGGAATTTTTGGAGGTTTTGGAATTTTTGGAAATTTTGGAAATCCCGAAGGTTAGGGGCGTGAATTTTGGAGCTTGTTGAATTGATTTTGGGAGGGCTGATTGTCGCCCATCCTGTGACAGACCATGCCGTAAGACTGACTTCAAAAGGGCATGGTCTGTCAATGCGGGGAGGGGATCGGATAGTTTGTATAAGGGTTCAGGACTTAGGGTTTAGGGTTACAGGGTTTGTAGAGCCAAGTGTGCAACCTGGATTCTTGCTGTTTGCAGTATGATTTTGGACGCTTGCTAGACTCTGTAGAGTCTAGTGGCAACCTGAGTTTTTTCGTGATTTGTAGTCGGGCTTAAGCCTTTGATTTCCATCGTAGGCGCTTTAGAATGGAGGTTTTGGGGCTTAGGGTTCAGGCTGTGGATTTGCATAGTAGCCGCTTTTGGATTTAGGGATTCTTATACCCTAAACCCTAGACTCTAGACCCGCCCCCTCTACTTATCTTGGTAAGCTGTACAATACTTGGAGGGGCAGGGGACTTAGTAAGTAGCTTATAAGTAGAGTTATATGTACCCTAAATGAAGTTACCCCAATTAAAACCCTACTTATAAAAGACGTACTAAGTCCCCTGGCCCTCCAAGTAACCCTGCAGGCGTTCAACACTGGCTTTGAGCTGGGTTGCAGCGTGGCCAAGGACACCAGCGACCGCATTGGTGACCCTGCCCTGGCGGGTCGGACCAGTCGTTCAAAACCCGTAGGGTTTGGGGTTTTGGGCTCTAAAGGTCTACAGTTTGCGGTGCTTCATTTAGGATTGATCATGTTGCGCTAAGGGCTTAGGGTGTTGGGGTCCAGGGTTTAGTTTTAGGATCAGGGTCTAGGGTCAGCGTTTAGGTAAGTTGCTACGGCAATTCGCGTGGATGCACCTGGTGACAGAATCTAATGCAGCTGTGCATACCGTCACGGTGACTTCCAGAGTAACCCAAGATCCTTGTGAAGGAGTTTGATTCAAGTTGCCATAATCGAACCCCGTTATTTACTATACATACAAATATCGAGCACTATACCTGAACCCTTACAGCACACTTGTAGAAATCTCTAAGGGGCTCCAAACCCTAAGGCCCGGGAAACGGAAATCATAAAAGGAACTCCAATCTGCCTCACCAACAAACCAAGATCACGCCTGTAGCAGGACTCCGCTATCAGCCGCCTCAACCCAGGGCGCCAAGGAATGTTTACAGTAGGGTAAACGGGCTTCAGGTTAAGAGATCAAGGTATAAGGGTTCAGGGTTTAGGGCATATGGTTTAGAGTTCAGGGTATGAGGGTTCAAGGTATAGGGTATATGGTTTAGAGTTTCTGGTATACAGGTTCAGGGTTTAGGGTGTATGGTTTAGAGTTTCTGGTATACGGGTTTAGGGTACATGGTTTAAAGTTTAGGGCATAAGGGTATAAGGGTTTAGTGTATAAGGGCTTGGGAATGGACAAATGGTCAAGGCGAAAATGGTCCCCCCAGCTTTGAAGCGAACCCTAGACATGTGTTAGAAGCTGCCCCCACCCTGTAATAGTGGTATAATAGGAATATAATAGGGCCCTAGAATAATCCTTATAGTCACTATTACAGGGTGGGGGCAGCTCCTAAGACATGTGTCAGGATTCGACACGACTCAATTAGAATTGCCAGGGCTTAGTCTTAGGACTCAGGGCTTAGGGCATTTAGGGTTTAGGGATCCTTTGAGAAGTTCCTGTAAGGGTCCATTTTAAGGGTTCCTATAAGGGCACGTATACTTCGCAGAAATCTCATCAACCCGAAAACCCGTAAACCCTAACCCTAAAACCCTAAAACCCCTAAAACCCTCAAACCTTAAAACCCTAAAACCCCCAAAACGCTCAAACCTTAAAACCCTAAAGCCCTAAAACCCGAAAAAATTTCCCCCTGAAGCCCTACCCTGCAAGCTCGCCACAGACCCGTCAAAGAGGGCATCAGGTTCGGCTCTGAGAGCAAGTGAAGGCCAAGCTCCCACTTCCTCGGGATAGTCGGTTTAGGTTTTCGGTGTTTAGGGTTTAGGGGTTTAGGGTTTAGGGTTTAGGGTTTAGGGGTTTAGGTTTTCATTTCGGTGTTTACTTAGAGGATCATAGGACTTAGAAAGTAGGTTATAATTGGGAGTTATAAGTCCCCTAAGTGGGGTTATCCTAATTATAACTTACTTTATAACCTTACTTACTAAGTCCCATGAGCCTTCAAGTGGGGGTTTAGGGGTTTAGGGGTAGGGCTTGGGGGTTTAGGGTTTGAGGGTTCAGGGCTTAGGGTTTGGAGTTTTAGGGTTAATGTTTCGAGATAAGGTTTGGGGCTTCACATATGGCATTCTGGCTCCGAGTCCCGCAATATGTCGATCCTGTAGGACCCCTGCTACACTTGGAGGATCAGGGGACCTAATAAGTAAGGTTATAAGTTCACTGATCGGGATTATAAGTATTTATAGGTATAGTTACTTTATAAATTATCTATAACCCTAGTTACTAAGTCCCACGATCCTTTAAGTAAGGACCCCCTAAACTCTAATGCAAGGGCCTTAGTAATTAGAATATGGTTTTGTGCTCCTTTGTAGTATAGTTACAATGAGAAGCCTAAGGAATAATATTGGCAACTATTTAGGCTTCCATATCAAACCCTTCAACAAGGTACACCCAAATCTAAGCAACCCCCACATCTTGCGGTAGGTGCCCCAAACTTTGAAAACCCCTATAACAACGTGGGCCCTTTATGGAATAGTTCGCCATTATGCCCATTATGGAACCCAAAACAATCTAGCCCAAAATCCTCGGAACCCTAACCCCTTACCGAACCCTTACAGGAGCTCTTGAAGGAACCTTCTCGTTTGAAACTCCGTCATGGACCCCTTTTTTCGCCTAAACCCGCAACCCGGCTCTCCTCCAGAGACCTGCAGCCAAGGCATTGAAAGTGATGAAGTCCGGACGATGAAAGTAACCTCCAGGGATTTAGGGCTTCCTTTAGGGCTTGGGGGCTTTGGTGTTCAGGGCTTTTCGGTTTAGGGTTTAGGGCTTTACCTCTTCAGGTCTTTAGCGCTTTAGGGTCTTTAGGGTCTTTAGGGCTTTATGGCTGTAGGGGCTTCGGGGTCTGGGGCTTTAGAGGATTTTATAGCGCTTCGGTCTTGAGTGCTTTTGGACTTTCTTGGGGTGTTTTCGGGTGTCGCAGCTGCCTACGGAATTTAATTTAGGTTGCCATAATGGCGAAACAATGGTATTTACTTATATAGATCCCAGATCCCCATTATGTCAATTTAAGTCAACTTCTTTGACAAAAACCCAGGATTGTACAATGCCTCGCATGGTTGCTGCCAGCCGCAGACACTCCTGGAGAGGCCACACTTTGAGAAGTTTCCGTGACTAATGGAAAAAGCTGCAACCTATGGGAGTTCCGAACATAGGGGACCCTAATGCAGTACCCTAACTAGTAGGATCCTAATATAAGGATCCCCAAATTTGCGGAAACTCCCCTATCTTTGCTTTACCATGCCATAGAACTATGCCGTGTTGTTGCGCATTGTTCTTATGTTCACACTTCACGTGCTCCTCCCAGCGAGTGCCGCGCGAGACGGCTGCAATCGTAGCATTGAAGGTCACCTGGCGCGTCGGATCTTGCCTGATGAAAACCCCTCTCCCCTGATCCCAAAAACCTCGTAGCAGTAGCATCCCTGAGAAGGCCACCTTGGAGATTGGAAGATGCTGCTGCTCGGCCGCCTGAACGTACGTGACATCTGGCGGGAGAAAGGCGCATGACACATCGTTCGACGCAAACCCGAAAACCGAAACCTTAAAAACCCTAAACCCCTAACCCCTACAACCTTAAACCCTGAAACCCTAAACCCTGAACAAATGCTGAAACCCTGAGCAAACCCTGAACGAAGAGAGGCAGAGGTGAGCAGAGACGAGAGCCTTCAGCAAGGCGAGCGCCAGCTCCCAGGCTTCCCCTGCCATGGGTTTAGGGTTTAGGGTTTTGGGTTTAGGGTTTAGGGTTTAGGGTTTAGGGTTTAGGGTTTAGGGACCTTTGGGGGGTGGAGGACTATACTTCCTTAAATAAGCCTTACTAGGTCCGTACTATGGGCATTTAGGCCCTCCCCCTACCCCCCCTAAGGGTCTCTATGAGACATGAAGAACACAAATGCAATACAACATAGGATTTTAACACTGCACCATGTAATACAAAGGTAAACTGCAATACAATCAAAGACTCTAACATAGCACCATATGATACAAAGAAGTACAATAAAGTATAGTATAGTATATAGTAGAATACAATAAATGTAACATACCAAGAAATCCTATAGCAAAACAGAACAAAGCGGCATGGTGGAAAAGCACTCGCGGCGTCTCACGCACATGCTCGAGCTTTACGATCGCCAATGCTACATATTTTGTTATTATTGTTATTATTCTCACTTGTGTTATTGCTGTTATTATTGCCATTAGCAAGACTATGGCTAGCTTTTTTGCTATTATGAGTATTATGTATTACGTAGTACTATTCTTAATGTCTTAATGTTATTACTGTGAAGGTTATGTCCCCCCATGCCGCTCCAATCGGCTAAATGATCAGCGTTCGGAACAAAGCTGCACCTCTCATGCAGGCCGTGACTGCCGCATTGCAGGCAACGATATCCGCCTGTGGCACGAATGCGTGTGGGTCAAAATTATGGTCCCTTTTTGGGTCCCTATTATAATTCGGCACCTAATATTTAGGGTACCCAAAAAGGGGCCCTAATTTTGACAACCACCCATGTCCAAGACAGACGGCCCTCACGCTTACAGCTTCCGTGTTTCAAAGCAGACTAAACAACGGTGGAAAAACATGAATCAGAGTTTTGTTTGTGGAGTACCTCGCTACCCACATCTGTCAGCAAGCTATTGTGAGGCCACAGTCGGGTTGCCTGGGCACGCATCTCCGAGAACAGGGTCAAACATCGGTGCCATTGGGAACCTGTGCCGACCCAGAGAGCCCAATACCCCTTAATTAAGGAATATACCTTAAATTATAAGGGGTTTCATGTTATGATTTAAGCCATATTCCTTAATTAAGGGGTATTGGGCTCTCTGGCGACGGTTTGGGGTTTAGGGTCCAGGGCTTGGGGGTTTAGGGAAACTTGAACCTCGCTACAGCACCCTGAAGTAGCCGCTACGGCTGATGGACAAAATCCTGCAGTACCCATTAAAAGGAATATGCCATAATTCCCATAGTTTAGGGTCCTTAGGGTCATGCAGGATTTTGTCCATCAACAGTATCACTCCAACTCTTTCGGTAACCTCTCCGGGAGGGCTCAAGAAACGCAGAAAGGAAGACCGCTGCCAGACCTTTCTCCAGCGCGCTGAGGGTGGAGTTCCAGCTGATGAGATCTGCATCAGAAGCTTCCTCAGGCGAAATTTCTGAAAAGAGAAGAATGGCGATTGAGAGACGGAAACCGAGCGAGAATGAGAGAAACACTCCACGCACATCCCAACCCTAAAACCAGCCCTGCTCCGATACATCTAGACTGTCAGAATGCATGTCAGAGCATTCTCGGCGTTGTCTTTCACCGGTGGATCTGCAGCTCCGAGGTGCACGCAGCTCCCTGAACAACGCAAGGCTGAGAGGCCAGCCTTAGTTGCGGCTACGAGTTGATGTTCGAATGTGGTGCAACGCCCAAAAAATGACCCCAAACCTATCGACGTCACTTTTGCCTGTTAAGGAACCCTTCAAAGGAAACCTCAAAGGAACCCGAAAGTCAGCTCAATGGCAGCTTGCTACTACAGTAGCCAGGTACTTCAGGGTTCCTGCAAAGGTACTACCGTCTTCGGGTTTCTACAATCGTTCTGCTTAAGGGTTTAGGTGGAGCTCCAGCCATGTTAGGATTCAAGGTATTGGGTTTCGGGATGTTCTGTCGAGGCGCGGTAGCTCCTCTCACAGGCGGAAATTGCTGCATTGCCTGGGTTCATGTTAAGGATTTATCTTAAGTTACCATAATTAGGATCTATGGTGAGTAATAGGGTTTCCAGATCAAGGCAACTTAAAATACATTCCTTTTACCTTGAAGGAAGCCTTGTAAATCCCCTATGGGATTCCTTATAGTTTCCTCATTCTGGTAACTTAACTTAAGTTCCTTAACAAGAGCCCTAAACCCTATAAACCCATAAACCCTTTTCACCCTACGACCCTATAAGCCCTATAAGCCCCACAAACCCCCTAAACCCTGTAAACCCTAAACCCTAACCCTTCATTAATTAAGTTCCTTCACCCTAAACCCTAGACCCTAAACCCTAAAGCCTACAATCCCTAAATCCTAAACCTTTCATGACTTCAGCTCCTTCATAGGAGCCCGGTTACAGGCTGGAGTAGCGATCTGCATCTTCCGACACTGTAGCGTGGCTAGCATCCGCAGGGCGATCCTCAGGCACTTGGCACGGGGTCCTCTAAGGGGTATGGGAAAGGTTACTATAAGTCGGATTTCGGGGCTTAGGGTTTAGGGTTACTGTAAAGGTTACCTTAACCCCAAATGGGTCCTTTAAGGGGCATTGCAAAAAAAATACTATAAGGGTTACTTACTTACTGACATGATCTAGGGTTTATTGTTTAGGGTTACTATAAGGGTTCCTAGAGACCCAGAGAGGACGCGTCCGTGATTCAAGGAGTATCGGGCCCTCGCTGGACAAGGGTCTGACGACTGCTTCCGTGGACCCTAAGCTGCTTTACAGAACACTTTAAAATTCAGAACATGATCCCCGAACCCTGGTCCCTATGGTCCCTGAACCCCTAAACCCCTAAACCCCTAAGCCCCTAAAGCCCTAAAACCCTAAAACCCTGAACCGTTCAGACTCCAACCCTGTTCCCCTATAGATCCCTTAAAGGAGCCCCTGTAGAACCCTTACACCCTAAACCCGAAACCGCCTAAACCCCTGTAAACCTCTAAACCCCTATAGACCCCTTGAAGGAACCCTGACAGATCCCGTAAAGGAACCCTTGTAGAACCCTAGACCCCACAGGTCCCTTAAGAACCCTAAAGCCCAAAACCCCGAACCCTTAACCCTGACCCTAAACCCCCTAGACCCTAAACTGGTGACCTTCTAGATCCATTACTTAGAGGATCATGGGACTTAGTAAGTAAGTTATAATAGGGGCTATAAGTCCCCTAAGTGGGGTTATCCTAATTATAAGCTACTTATAACCTTACTTACAAAGTCGCATGAGCTTTCAAGTAGACCCTAAACCCTAAACCCTATAGATCCCTTTTAAGGAACCCTATAGATCCCTTTAAGGATCCCTTTAAGGAACCCTAGTTACTAAGCCCCATGAGCCTTCAAGTACCCATTAACGCAGCCCAGAGATCCCCTTTTACAGGAGCCCCTTATGAAACACCCCTGAACCCTCGAGGATTCCCCAGAACTTCCCAAATTCCTCGATGAAGGGATACACAGTAGAAGCCAGAAAGTTGGAACATGGGTTTAGGAGGATTAGTGCTAGGATCCCTTATGCTTTACTTTAGGGGCATGAGGACACTAATGTTCCAGCTTTCTGGCTTCTACCATACCTTAAATCATATTAGGGATCATGTTTTGACTTATGGTATATTCCTTGATTAAGGGATATACCTTAATCATATTAGGGATCTTACTATAACTTAAGGTATGTTCCTTAATTAAGGGATCTTATTTTAGCTTAAGGTATATTCCTTAATTAAGGGATCTTATTTTAACTCAAGGTATATTCCTCGATTAAGGGATCTTGGAAGGTCGGGCCTACTATAGATCCCTTACCGATCCCTTATAGTAACCCTTATAGACCCCTTTAAAGGATCCCTAAAACCCTACTTAGAGGATCATGGGACTTAGTAAGTAAGTTATAATAGGGGGAATAAGTCCCCGAAGTGGGGTTATCCTAATTATAAGCTACTTATAACCTTACTTACTAAGTCCCATGAGCCTTCAAGTAGATTCAGGCCGGCGGCTCCCACTGGGCAGCTCTTCCACAGGACGCCACGGCCGCGCTGCAGGCGACGTGCGGCACATCCCGGACCGCCTCGAGGCTGCAGCCTGGTTTGGGGTTCCTTTAAGGGTTCCCAAGAAGTCCTACTTAAAGGCTCATGGGACTTAGTAAGGTTATAAGTCCCCTGAGTGGGGTTATAAGTATAGCTACCTTATTGGTTTGGGGTTCCTTTAAGGGTTCCCCTACACCCTAAACCCTAGAAGTCCTAGGGATCCTTTAAAGGGATCCTTTAAGGGCGCCTTGAAGGGATCCTATTACAAGATTTGGGGGGTTCCCAAGGAGTCCTAGGGATCCTTTAAAGTGATCCTTTAAGGGCGCCTTGAAGGGATCCTATTACAAGATTTGGGGGGTTCCCAAGAAGTCCTAGGGAACCTTTAAAGGGATCCTCTAAGACCTCCTTTAAGGGATCCTATTATATGGGATCTGTAGGGTTCTCAAGAAGTTCTGGGGATCCTTTAGACGGATCCTTCAAGGGCGCCTTTAGGGGATCCTTTTTTCTGGGACCCTGGTTAAGGTCTAGGGGTTTAGGGGTTTAGGGGTTAGGGGCTTTGGGGTTTTGGGGTTTTGGGCTTTAGTGAGGTTTGGGGGGTTAGGGGTTTAAGGGTTAGGGGGCTTAGGGGTTTGGGGTTTAGGGATTTATAGGGCTTCAGGGGTTCAGAGTTTAAGGTTTAGGGTTTCAGGGATTTTGGGGCTCAGGGGATTGGCATAGGATATCATTTACGAGACTTCAAACAGAATGGGAATACCTGGGGTTATCTGCAAGGTAAGTACACTTATTATATTTTTGACTTATTAACCAAAATCAGGTTTGGGGTTCTTTTCATGTAAGCCTTGTTGATCTAAACCTTGTGGCGCAAAAGGTCAAGGATTTAAGGTACTTAAGACCTTACTTACACGAAGCCCCCCTGCTCCTCCAGGTGGGCATCTCCGGGTTGCGGGTTTAGGGCTTAGGGGCTCACATTTTGGTTTGGGGGGTTGAAGCATTTCGGGGTTTAGAGGTCTAGGAGTCTACTTAAAGGATCATGGGACTTAGTAAGTAAGGTTATATGTCCCCTAATTGAGGCTATAAGTACTTATAAGTATGGTTACCTTAGTGATACTAAGTCCCATGATCCTTTAAGTAGGGTTTAAGAGCTTCGGGTTCCTAGGGCACAGCTCCCTTCCCTACGTGTCCAGTGTCCTGGGGAACTAAAGGTTTTACCCGTTGGGAGTCTATTGGGATTCTTCAGGGGGTATAACACCCCAGAAGGTGAAAGGTTGCATACCACAAGGCTTCCGTAATCCTTCAACCCCTAAACCCTAAACCCTAAACCCTTCAAAGATTGGCGCCGAGGCACGAAACATCTCGACAGCGATTGTCCAGCCTGATGAGCTCCCCTAAACCCTAGACCACTTGGGAGTTTCCGACACTTCGGGGAGGGTTCCTTTTCGGGGATCCTCCCAGGATGCCTTAAATCAAAGGGGAAAAGGAGGGACCCTACCCTATAATAGGCTATATAATGGGTATATAGTGGCTATATTAAGGGTATATCCCTAGGGGTCCTTATTCAGGGTCCCTCCTTTTACCTTTGGATTAAAGGGATCCATTGAGGGTTTTGGGGCTTTATATATAGGGGTACTAGAAGGGTTCCTTCAAAGCTCTCTGAGAGTTCTATAAGGGTTCAGAGCTTCCGAAAATTAGGGGTACCTTATGTTGGAGTCTTTGTAATAAGGATCCTACTGTTTAGGATACTATATCAGGGCCAACTAGTTTCTGGAAACTCCCACTTCAGGGCTTTCTGATTTAGGGCTCCTTTAAGGGGTCCTTCAAGGGTCTCGGGATCAAATCTTTAGGGCTTCAGGGTTTTCGGATTGAGGGTTTAGGGTGTTCGGATTTAGGGATTCAGGGTTTAGGGCTTAGGGTTTAGCTGGGCTTCAGGGCTTTGGGATTTTAAGTCCGAGCTTCATTCAGCACGTGAAAACCTGTGGTCATCTTTTCGGGCGCAACCATAGCTTGGGTCTGCCTCTGGCATCCCTCTCGAAGCCTCACAGCCTCAGGGTGAATCATCGTCCTCCGGACAGTGGCCGGGAAGGGAGAGTCACAACACCCGTCGCTGCCACAGCTCTGGCGAGAAAAGATGATTGCATCGACAGCGCACAATCAGACAAGAGCACAGCAGTTGACAACAGCAATAGTGCGACTGAAAGTTCGATTCTTTGACAGTACGGAGAAACAGGCCCTGGCGATGGTGGCGGCCGTCCGGACTTTCCATGACTTTCCTGAAAGGTTTGAAAACTACGATTATGAAAGCTGGAGCAGCACGACAGTAGAGCTGCTGAAGATCTGTCATGTCGCCTGAGAATCAGGCACTCGACCTAAGCTACTGCTGCGGCCATCACTTTAGTGAGGTCAGCATGTACGCCCACACTGGTGTCACGGTGTCTGTAGATCTGCTTCTGCCCATCGAAGACCAGGACGCCGCCTTGCACAAGCGTCTTGTCAAAGGAGTTGTCTCCCTGCGGCACCAGCGGCTTGTATATCTCCTTTGCTGTCTCAAGATCATCGTTGGTGAAGAGCCCTGGCACATCGAACAGGCCGAAGAAGCCTGGGGTTGCTAAGGAATTATTCATGAAAGCTATCAAAATAAGGGTCTATAGTAAATAAACGGGTTCCTTTAAGGAATTATTCGTGAAAGCTATCAAAATAAGGATCTATCGTAAATGGGGATCTTTGGTAAATAAAGGGTTTAGGGTTTAGGGTGTAACTTAAACTAAGCTCCTTAACAAGAGCCCAGAAGCTTACGGGACGTCCGTTGGCCCTGCTCTTCACCGCTTGCGCCGTCTTTTCCTGGGCTTTAAGGAACTGAGTGAAGAAAGGGTTTAGGATTTATAGGGTTAATAGGTTTATAGGGTTATAGGCTGAATAGGGTTTAGGGTTAGTCGGGTTTATAGGGTTAATAGGCTGAATAGGGTTAATAGAAACTCCTTAACAAGAATCCAGGCTTCTGTCATCATGCGCATTCCACGTTGGCGGCCGTCCTCCGAGAAGTCGGAGTTCACGAATCGCAAGGCTTGGTACGACGCTGCCTCATCATTTTGATTCTAGGGTTTAAGGGGTATAGGGTTTGGCGGGTTCCTGTATGGGCTTTAGGAATTTTGGGGGTTTTGGGATTTAGGGGTTTAGGGATTTAGGATTTTGGGGTACGGTTGATGATATAAATCCTGCGTGACCTTAAGGACCCTGAACTATGGGAATTATGGTATGTTCCTCATTATGGGTAATGCAGGATTTAAATCATCAACAATAGGACGCTGCCTCATCATCACCGAAAACAATCTCTGGAGGCAGCCCGACCTGCTCCGCGAACTCTTTCGCACTTTGCGAAGAGCCAATACCGACCTAAGGTCTGCTGCAGGAAGGAACGCATTATTAAGTTGCAATAGTGAGGAAGCCGGATTATCTTTTAAGGCACTTAATGCACGTTGCAATGATGAGGAGGCCTACTATTCGGGATAGATCTTGATAGTGGTAACTTAAACCCTAAACCCTTACAGTAAACCCCATAAAGTTGGAAACCGGATCAAGGCCGAGGCTATTGGGTTTCCAACTTTTGGGCTTCTACAGTATAGATCCTTTTGCTGCAGTAAGGGACATATTTCAAGCTACAACAATGCGGGAGCCCGATGATCTTCTATAGGTCCTTATGATGGTAACTTAAACCCTAAAGCATCCGGGTTTAGGGCTTAGGGTTTAGGGCTTTAGGGCCCTGTCCCTTAGCTGCTCGTCTCAACCGCATCAAACCTACTTGAAGGCTCATGGGACTTAGTGAGTAAGGTTATAAGTAGGTTATAATTAGGATAACCCCGCTTAGGGGACTTATAACCCCAACTATAACCTACTTACTAAGTCCCATGATCCTCCAAGTAACACTACAGACGGCTTGACCTTGCAAGCCTATCCCTTAAAGGGGCAATGAACCCAAAGCTCCTTCACTCCAAGGGTAAAAAGAGGGACGCTTAATAAGGACCGCTAGGTATATACCCTTAATATAGCTATTAGATACTCATTATATAGCCGATTATAGGATAGGGGTCCCTATTAAGGGTCCCTCCTTTCCCCCTTTGATGAACGATTTCCCACGTAACTAGGGTTATAAACAAAGTAACTATACTTATAGTTGCTTATAACCCGAATTAGGGTACTTATAACCTTACTTACTAAGTCCCCTGATCCTCCAAGCAGCCACCAGGAGCTTGATCTTCGACTTCTCAGCTTCGGGGAGCCAGTCCCGCTTCAGTTGGATACCCAGCTCCCAGCATGCCATTCAGCCGAAGTGCCTTAGACGCGGTTTAGGGTTTAGGGTTTCGCGAAAACCCAAAGCCTTCCTAAACCCTAAACCCTAACCCCAGAAACCCTAACCCCGAAACCCTGACCCCTGGAGCCTAAACCCATTCCGCCGAAGTGCCTTAGACGCGACAACCCGAAGCGGGCCTCTAAGTAGCCCTATTCCCCCTTGTAGAACCCTTGTCAATCCCTTTAAAGGGTTCCTAAACCCTAAACCCCAGCAGCCGAAGTGCCTCAGAAAGGCCACCACCACCCGCTCGCCATCGGCCCACAAGCTGGGCAGTGCAACCTGTGCTCGTCTTAAGGAACTTAAAGGGGACTTAGTAAGGGTTCTTAAAGGGCTCCGTAAAGGGATCTATAGGGTTCCTGAAAGGGATCTATGGGGTGTAGGGCTTAAGTTAAGCATCAAAGGCTCCTTTGAGGGATCTATAAGGGTTCCTTTAAGGGCTCTTCTTAAGGAGTTTAAGTCCTAAGATGCCATTAAAGCATCTGTAGGCTTAAGGAACTTAAGTTAACCATTAAAGGCTCCTTTGAGGGATCTATACGAGATTCCTTGAGGAGTTAAGTCTTAAGGAACTTAAGCTTTAAGTTACCATAATAAGCCTTGTTTTTAAGGGTTTAGGGTTACAGGTTTAGGGACCTATACTGCATCTGTAGTCCTAAGGAACTTAAGTTAACCATATTCGGGATCTTTATCTATGGCAACAAGGCACAAAATCGGGACCTATACCTGGGCTCCTCTGAAATAAACCCTGAGCTTTGAGCTACTATCATAGGGATATGATACAAAAGCTCCTTCGAGGGATCTATAAGGGTTCCTTTAATGGTTTAAAGTTTAGGCTTTCAGTTAACCATGATGGGGATCTGCATCTGTAGTGCAGCAACTGATGGTTACTTTAAGTTGCAATGATAGGGTTTAGAGTTCAGGGATGAAGTTACTATAATGGGGATCTATACCTATAGTACAAAAAAGGGGGTGGTACCACAATGGGGACCTGTGGTTATGGTACCTCCTTAACAAGGACCCAGCAACTTCCGCATCGTCGGAGGCTCGGCGCAAAGGGATCTTAGACAAGGCCTCGAAGTTGGCGTCCACTGCGGTCTCGGTGGCGACGTCCAGAGCCCCCTCTGCAGCCCGTAAGGTCACCGGCTTCTTCGTGTGAGTGGAGCTTGGGGCCCGGGTCCCGGCTGTGAAGAGAAGCGGGAGGACGTTGCCCAAGGCCTGGGTCTGGGTTCTTGGGCTTTTGGCGTTTGGGGGTTTAGCGTAGGGGTTTAGGGGTTTAGGGTTGAGGAGTTCAGGGGTTGAGGGTTTAGGATTTCAGGTTTCGGGTTTCTGGGGTTCTTGCTACGGAACTAAGCTTGAGCTACCACAACAAGGAAGCCCTACAATGTACGAACAATCCTGATGACGGTAACTAAAACCCTAAAACTCTAAACCCTTATGGATCCCTTAAAAGCCCTATAACCCTAACCCCCCAAAATCCTAAACCCTAAACCCTTATGGATCCCTTAAAAAGCCCTTTAAGGTACCTTAAACCCCTCAAAAAACCGTAAACGCGTATGGATCCCTTAAAAAGCCCTTTAAGGTACTTTAAACCCCCAAACTCCTTAGGGTACTTATAAGTCTACTTACTACCTACAAACTAAGTCCGTGAACCCGAAACCCTAAACCCTATAGTGCCCCTATAGAGCCCCCCCTGAACCCTACCCCCCCCAACCCTTATGGATCCCTTAGAAAGCCCTTAGAGGTACCCTAAACCCCAAACTCCTACCCTATGGATCCCTTAAGAGCCCTGTAAGGTACCTTAAACCCCAAAGTCTTGAAAAAAGAGCCCAGATCATTGCTTTTAACCTATGCACTGTTTTTTAAAACACCTATGAACTCCTCAAAACCCTAAACCCTATAGTACCCCTATAGAGCCCTTTACAAAAAAGAGCCCAGAGGCCGCCAGGAGGAGAAAGGCCGCTGCGGAGAGCCTCAAGGCCCCCGCCCGGCTCCTGGTAGGCCAAAACGGGGGGGGGGGTTAAGATTTCTTGGGG